TGCTGTTACAATCTACTCTGAGGCTTGTAACCTGTATCTCCATTTTCTTGCAGAGTCTTCCTGAGTATCTTCCAGGGTCTGAGCTCCACTGAGCATTTGTCTTGGCTCTGTTCTGTTCAGCTCCTTCCCTGCACCTTCAGAGGCAAGCCTCTTCCCCAAAATCCACGCTGTTTGGCATTCATCCTGCAGCCAAAGAGAGCTCCTTCAGCAGTGGGATCTGCCCAAGAGGCAATGGGAATGGGTAAGGACTGCAAGGCTGTAGTTGCTGTCAGGTTCCTGCAGTTATGTGAAAGGGGAGGGGAGCTAAATAGTTTTGTTGAGGAAATTCCAGAAAAATGGTACAGTTGGCTTGGAGAGACTGTCCTGGGATCTCCTTTCTTGTTTTGATCTACACAAAACTTATTGAATTTTATTCTTGCCTAGATTGACATCTCATGTGTAAGAAGAGTCATTACACTTATTTGAAAAGCAAACAAAACCCAAACACCCCCCCACACTCCCAAACCCAACACACTGATGTGGATTAAGCAGCTCCCATTGGACAACTACTTGAGGAAAAACGGGAATATGGTCAGACTACAGTCATGGGATGGCTTTTAATGGTTGTAATGATGGCAAATCCTAAGATAGCTTTGAGGTAGAAATTAAAGCATGGAATCATCTGACACAACTACACTATCCAAGTGATTTTAGTCCCCAAAGTAGTGTTTTTGTAGCTTGTTAACAGAAAAATCTCTTGGCCTGTACTGAGCATGGGAGAGACTTGGATGTGCTGGGAAATGTAAGGGTGCCCTGGGAGCCTGTGGAGGTGGAGGCTGTGCAGAGTCACTGCAGGAGTGCCTGGGAAATCTGGGCCTCCCGGAGCCTCCTCCGGCACTGCGGCTCCAAATTCATGGAATTGAGCACTGCAGAAGCCTCCAGCCTAACAAAGGAGCTGACAAAGGGGTTTGAGAGATTCTCTTTAGAGGGAACCCAAACTTTGAGAGCGTCCTGTGACTCTCGTAGCCATTCCTGGCTGGAAGAACTAATTCATGGAGCTGTTACAGCCCTGACATCTACACAAATTAACAAGTTTTCCTCATTAGGCCTGAGGTTGAAGTGAATTCTGTTCGGAGAACAGCTCCACACAGGTGCCAATTCCATCACATTATGTAAATAGCCTGTGACTAATGGAGAAGCCTATGAAATGAAATGAAATAAAATAAAAGGCATCAGTCAGTGCATTTGCATGGAAACCAAAGGAACCTTGTTTAAAAATGAGTGATACCAGACAAGATAATTCTAAGGTTGCCATTGTGGAATATTTCTAAGTGTCTTATTAGCATAGAATTGAAAGGACAGTTTTGTATTTATGGAGTCTATCAGGTTCCACTAAGTACATCTGCTGTCCATCTGACCTTTCATTGTGAGGTTTCTCAAAGCTTTGTTATAGATTTGCTCTCCTCTTATTTTGAATTGTTTTTCTGTATCTACTTTTATTTATTTTTCTTTCCCTATTTTAATTTTTTTCTCCTCTGCCTTGTACCCCTCAGCTTTTAAATTTTCTCTCTCCTTTCATCAAGCTGGCCATTTTAATTTTTTTTCTTGTTTGTCACATACCCTGTTGCTTTTTAATTTTTTGTCATGTCTTTTATTTTTTATGTCTCTCCTCTTGGTTCATCCCGATGCTTTAAAGGGTCACCTTGGCACAGTGGTATCTCTGGAGTGTAATTTGTACCCCTCTGGGTTTGCCAGGGCATCTCTGCAGGTCATCCCTCTTCCTCAGAGCAGTCTTTGTGTCCTCTCCTCCATCTCCTTTGCCTCCAGTGTGTCAGCAGCTCCCTCCTGACATCTGTGCTCTGGTCAAGTCCCCTCCCGAGTGCCTTTGTGCCCCTGAGCTGTGTTTTATCTGCTCTGTGGCCACCCTTTCCATCTGCAGCAGGCTTTCCATTTTTCTTTGACCTCTTGGTGATTCTTGGCCTTTGGGCACATGAGAACTGTCCTACCCCTGTCACAGACAGTACAATTCACCAGGCAGTTTTACACAGGGTAATATTTATTTGTCAGCCGATGGGAGCAATCAAAGTCTTTAAATCACACACAGCACTGGCACTGCCTTTGTCACAGACAGAATTACAGTCAATAATCAATTGATCTCTCTGCTCAGCAGAATCATTTCCACAATGAATGCCAGTTCCCAAGTATCTAACCCTAGTTATATGTGCCTACACTTAAACCAATCAACCATAAAATACACAGACAAGTAAGGGTATGTTCATTTACAAGGATGTTTATAAATATATTAGTCTGGTCTACACAACTTGAACCACTTGAACAAAGCTCTGATGCACTTTAAAAAAAAAACAACCCAAGAGATTGTTTGTACATTGGGATAGCATTTGAGAGTTCAGGTTCCCCCTCTAGTTTTCAATAATTAAATCCATGTTGCTGTTCCCCTGAGGAAACTCACAGTCCTCCAGCTGGGACTTGATGATCCTTGTGGGTCCCTTCCAACTCAGAATATTCCATGATTCTGTGATCATGGAACAACTCTCTGGTGAGAAAGGCTGTTAGAATTTTGTCTACTTGCTATATCAATACAAAGAGAAGAAATAAAGTTATCAACATTACCCAACACAGGGCAACATTTGCCAGTTTAACTTGAGCCATCCTTAGGCATTGCATATTGTAGTTACATGTATCACTATCACACACCATGCTGGAGTCCATAATACTTATGCTTTAAAAACAAGCAACTCTGTTCCTATTCCTGTTAAAGTCATCTCACTCCTACTGACTTGCCTGGAAATTCAGTATCAGGATGCACACGAAGCCACTGGATGTACTGAGAGTCTTCAGGACTGTGATGATCCTCTGTTCAGTTAACAATGATTTTTATAAATGCAGCATCAAGAAGAGATACTTGATAACTGCTCAGGACAGAAATGGAGCATCAGCACTTGAGTCAAATGAAAGTGAGAGGAAGAAATGAGAAGAAGAAATCAAGGCACAAGTATGATTGTTCACATTTGATTCTGAGGAAGTCACTGCTGGAAATGCTGCCACTTGCTAATGAAGAACCTTCTTATGCCAAGATTCAGACTGGAAGGAAAAATTGATTGCTTAAGTTTGATCAGGATGTCGTGAGCAGACCATTGGTGTTACAAAAAGCAGTGGCAATCTTTTTTGTGCCTGGCTGATGCACTGCCCAAGCACTTCTAGGGAGAGTCAGTAAAGGGAGACCGTCCATCAGCATCACTTAATTTAAACCAGTGTTAATTTTGTGGCTGTGTTTAAAGCACTTGGGATGTGATACCAAAACCACCTCTGCTATAAAACTAAGCACACTTGGGTGTGCCTAAGGGATGGGAATGCTGGTATGGGAGCCACTTAAGCCAAGTTCATACGTGGGAATCTCAGCTGAGCTTGAGTCAAACTCCAAATACTGTCTGAGACACTTCTGTGAGAACTGAGAGTAATCTGAACTGTTGTGCCAATATTAATAAATTAAACTGTGAATGTCCTGTGCTTGTAGATTGCTTTCAGCATGGGCCCTGAAGCTGTAAACTGTGCTTAAATATGAGGAAGACAGAGAGATCTGTGTTCCAAACTCAGGGAAATCCAGCTGATAGCCCAGCCTTTTGCAGGAATGCCACCAGGATTTGTTAAAATGATCTGTTCAGTGAATGGTCTTTTGGCAGTATTAGGTGACTTTCTGTACAGGCACTGGAATCTCCAAGAAAAGTGAAGTTCCTGGATCAGGTTTGCTCTCATTTAAGCAAGTGGAACGAAGACAGTGACCCCCATTATTACCCTGGAGTCTCACTGATGAGAGAACGAGCTCCATCAGCTCCCCCTCACCAGAGCACACACCAGCCCCTCGGGCGTGAGTGGTGTGGTCACAGTGTCATCGACTGCAAGTTGCTGCTTTTACCTTGGTTAAAAACCCATTTGCTGAACAAGCAGATGGTGTAAACCAGCAACAGAGGGAGCCCAGTGATCGAGGGGTGGAGTTAATGGAACTAATTAACACTGAGATACTCTTATCAGTCTGATCATTGGCCTTTATTAGGTATTTATCTGTCTCCTGGTTTCTTTTCAAGGCAGATATTTAAGTTATGGTTTATACACTTCAGTGCACATGTATGATATTGGATCTAATTAGAAAAAAATACTAAATGATGCCAAAACTAATCCATAGCTGTCACTCAGATACTTGATTACTGTGTTGCTAATTCTGCCTTTCTTGCTCCAGTGAGTAGGGCTGACCTTAAGACTTCTGTGGGCTCAGACACTGATGGATTTCAACGAGGTCTTTTTACTCAGGGTGAATCAGGGGGCATTTAATAATCCAGAGTATCTGCAAGAGCTGGTGAGGCTCCTCTCACAGAGCTGCTCTGATGAGCAGAGTGATGCAGCCAGTCTGAACTGATGCTGCAGTGAGAGAACTGTGGCCTGAAGGAATCCTTTAAGAACTGCTTGACTATGGAAAATGATGGTCCCTCTCCAAGAGAATTTTGTGGCCTTAAGGTAAGTTTCATCACAGCTGAATCAGCAAGGAGCTCACTGTAATATAAATGTTAATTCTTTTAAGTGGGGCACTGGTAAATTGCTAAAGTTAGGGAATGCATTGCAAGGAATTTTATGTGCAAGTGTTAAAACAAGGGTTTTAAAAAACTCAGAAGAAGAAAGGACTTTAGCAATAGAAGTAATTAATTATATTTCACTTGAACAAGAGGAAGCAAGGTGAGTTGTTGGACTAAATTGTTCTAAGTATTGTATTTAAATAGCCCAATATAAACTGATAACTTATGTTATCACTGTAGCATGGATGACAAATAAGTCTGGTTATTTTTTTATGACCACACTGGAAAGCGATTTTTAAAATGTTTTAGTCTGAAAAGAGTTGTGTTCAATATTACACCTTTAGGCTTCTATGCTCTGTGCTACAAAAGAAACTATTTGCAAACACAGCTGGACAGAAATGACCACATCTGCTCAAGTGTGGCCTCGTGCTAGTGCAGAAATGTGGAGAAAGATATTGCTGCAATGAAGATGCAGACCTAATTTTCTACTCAAAGAGAAATCTGGGTAAGTAGCTAAAACAAAATTTACTCTAAATTCATAGTGTGTTTGTCTGATAATGGAGATTCTAAAAGGTCTATTGTAGGGACCAGTGGTGATGGTAAGAGCAAAAGCAATGATCCGTGCTGGTGGTTTGAAGAATGCAATGCTTTTAGGAGAAATGCTAAATATGTATTTCATCTTGAACAGCAAGAACAATCTCAGTGAAGACATCTTTGCAGCAAATCAAGTTTTCAACTGCTTTAGTGCTCATAAAAAAAAGATAGAATTCCAGCTCTAGCCTTTTCCCTTGTTAAAATACGATTTCTGGGCTGGGCTGGTACTGAACCAAAACAAACTGCATGCTGGGGCTGAAAGGAAGGTGATGGAGGCTTAGGATAAATTCAGGGGCCTTCCTTACAGTGTGAACTGCCTGTAACCTGCAGATTAACCAGGGCTGGGATCAGTGTAGGGCAGGAAAATCAAAAGGCCAGAAAACTGTGAGAAAGGATGCTGAAGTTAGGAACACCACAGCGTTCAGGGTTTACTTGGGGGAAGTTGGTGTTTAGGGAGGACATTCCATCAGTGGCTGAAATGGAAATGATTTTTTAGAGCCAAGGTTGGATGCCAGTGACTTTGAAACTGTGGATTAAAAAAGTAAGATGTTAATACTGTTTATAATTCCTTATTATTGATCTTTATGACTCTTGGAAGTGGTTTATTAGCATTAACACTATCATTAAGTACCTGTTAAGAGTATGCCTATGGAAGCATAATCCTGATTTTGCTGAATTAAATGTAAAAACTTCCTCTAAACTTGATGGTAACATGACCAAGACCTACAGAAAGAGGCCATCTGCAACAAAACACAAAATTTTGGAAACTGCTGTTGGATTCTTTTATATCTCCACATGGGGATTATTTAATTTCAGAGACCCTTTAGATGCATCAGTTTGCAGATTTGAAAGGGCAATATTTTCATATTCCTCCTGTGATGCTGAGCATCTGCAGTAGTGAGCTAATACTATCAAATCCTTCTGAAAGTTCCTGTTCAGAAATCCATAGAAGATGGGGTTGATACACGTTGAGATCATGGCCACGAGGTGGCAGATGGTAAATGCCAGGTTGTGATTGCAGCTCATTAGTGCCTCGTAGTTCCAGTCAAAGACCACATTGAATATATTGAGAGGCAGCCAGCAAGCTGCAAAAGTCACAACAATTGATACCAGCATCACATTAATCCTTTTGCTTTCACTCAGCCTGCTCTCGTTCTCTCTCATCCTGTCTATTTTAAAGCGTCTCCTTCGAAGACATACAAATATCCTGAGGTAGCAGATAAAAATAAACCCCAGTGGGAAGCAGTACTGGAAAACCAGCAGGCTGGTGGTGAAAATCAGTCTCTCTGTAAGAGATGGCCATGCTTCGATGCAAGCAACCTTGTTCTTGTAGAAATCACTGTGGAAAGACAGGTGTTTGAAGGGCTCATCTGTTAATTGGTGAAATATTAAAAAAGGAAGGGATATCACGAGGGAAAGCGCCCAGATGAGAAGAATTCCCCAGTAAGCATGTGAAATATTAGGCTTCCAGCCACGTGGGTTCACAATTAACTGGTACCTCTCAACAGCAATGAGTACAAGTGAGAAAATGGAGACTGAGACAGATAAACTTTGTACGAAAGAACCCATTTTACACATTGCTTCCCCAAATATCCAGTGGTCCATTAAGGTGTATGCAACTGTGACAGGAATACACATGATACAGATCAAGACATCTGATATAGAGAGGTTGGCAATCAAAATGTTGGTAACATTTTGAGCTTCTTTCCGTCTCTTTATTATAATAATCAAGCAAAGATTTCCAAAAAGCCCCACCAGTAAAACTAAGGTGTAAGCTGTGATAAGCAAGAACTCTGCAAGGAAGGAAAGCTGGCATGTGTCAAAGTTCAAAAACTGAGAAAAGCTAAAGTTAGAGACAGTTTGATTGGACAGGATCTCACTGGGGTGCTGAATGGCTTTATCCATCGTGAGGCATCTCCCAACCTATGGACAAAACCTTGTGTTATTTAGAATATACTTGGTATGGAGCTTTTCAAAGTAGTGAGTACTGTGGGTCTGTCATTGCAGTTGGTGTCCTTAAGGTTTTGAGCAAATCTGATTAATTACAGTACTGGCAAAGTGAGTGGTTATTAGTGGGGTTATGTATATCTATGGATGGAGGTGGATGTCACCTTTCTGAGGTTCTGCTCTGACACTGAGCCGGGACTGTGGTGTACAAGAAACAGCAGTGATAGCAGCTCTGGTTAAAATTGTATGGGCATTTTCATACAAATCCTCTTCTACCAACTGTGGATAAAGTTTGATTTTCAGAATGAAATATTTTAAGATCTGTCTCTGCTGAAGATTTAGCAAGGTTAATGAATTCCAAGGAGGATAATTAGTTGCTTTTGTATTATCAGAAAAGAAGAACTGGGTCCTGCCATCACATTGCTAGCTTAGACATCACACTTATATTTTCTTTAGAACTACAAAGCAATGTGAGCTAATACACCAAATCCTCCTGAATTGATCAAAATTATGTGTGCTTGAGCTCAAGTGGTATTCAACACCTCTGTGAATGATATTTTTAAGGCAGTTTCCTGTTCTGCTGATGCACTGAAGGTAGCATGGCCTTTTTCCTCAACTTAACTTGAGAAAAATGTAAACCAAACACAGATCAAATTGTGGTTGTACACACAATTCTTTCTCTGTCAGGAGTTACCAAGGGTTGTTTCATTTCCCTATGCACTGTTCACTGTTGTACAAGTTTGACATATGATGCCCTTACATTTTTTTGTGGTTAAATGCAACATGTACTCAAGAGACACAGAGTTGATTCTTCTTTCAGCTCCAACTTAAACAGGTGTCAAGCAAAAAATCTGATATTAGCACAGTTCTTTTGTTATAAAATTAATATTATTGAGAAGAATTAGGTTCAGCAGAATATCTTGGTGGGGTTGAATTTATCACTAAGTGAAAAAGTTAAATTAAAGGCTCACCAGCTTTCTGGCCAGAAAGAGGTTATTTCAACCTGGGAAAGGAAAAAAAGAAGGATGAAAACAGTTACTTTTAAAATAGGTATATGTTCTACACATATACCTTTCAAAACTCAACTTTAACTCACCTTAATTCCTTTTTGAAGTTATTGGAAAACTAGCAGGAAGGAGATAATTCTTTACCCCTAGTAATAGTGTTGAGAGCCTGTGGAGAAAGGAGAATGAAGAAGCAGTGGGAAGTTAAAGAGGATGCACAAAAAGAAGAAGGGTTAGGTAGACGTTTTATTGTTACTAGAAATAATTTGCTTATGTATAGAAGATTTGTCAACCTTGTCATAGAAATGATTGCCATTATCTAATCACTAAGAATAAAAAAAAAGTTTGGCTTGTGTGCACAAGATTAAACACCAAATCCAGGGTTAAAATGGGAATGATTCTGTAGCTGCTTGCCCCCCAGACACTCAAAGAATATTCCAGCCAGAGTAATATCCTGCACTGCTTTATCCTGATACTTCTGTTTGACGTAAGTTTGGATGCTTCAAATTAAGATTCTAAAAAAAAAAACCCAAACCCAAACAAAAGACAACACAACCACCTTTGGAGCATCTATTACCACTCTCATCCTGATTAAAATATCCCTTTCAACCAGCATACTCCTGTTGGAGTGGGAAGTGGCTGTAGATTTATGTGACTCTATGTGGCCCTGATGTTCCAAATATGACTTAATTTGTGGTCAGGGCTGGCATTAAGCCCTGTAGACTCCCTAAATAATGCACCTGGCTTGGTTACAGCTATATTGAGGGAATGGCATGGAAACCTGCACAATCATTCTGCAAAAGCCATTCAAGTCTGATGGCTCAGATAGATTTTGTAGTCCCTTGCAGGTGTCCCTGCTCCAGCAGGGCAAGAACAAGAGCTGGGTACCTGACTATGTGTGCTCCAGCCTCCAAAAACTCTTCTCCTAACAAGTCCAGGAGCAGGGACAGGGGTTGTGGATCGAGCACAGTCACACCCAGTGGCTGGGCAACAGCCCCTCTTTCCTGGATTGCACTGCAAACCACTTTTCCCTGGAGCAGCACTAATTGCCTGGCTGGATTTGTCCCACTGAGGGATGAATGTGCTGGGAGAGCAAGAGGCAGTAAATGGTACATTTACCACCAACAGTGGCAGCTGTTGCCCCGATGAGCTTTGCTGCCACTGGAGAAGCGTAAGGGTCCAAAGTCTGGCTGCTTTGCCCCCAGGGTGGTCCTTCTCTTTGGACTGCCTGTGGTGGTCACCTGGCACAGATCTGAGCCCTGGCCCTTGAGAAGAGGTCAGGTGTCAGCAGGGGAACTGGACTGGGAGCAGATCCCTTCCGAGACAACCTCTGCTCTTCCCTGCTTTTTATGTGAGCAGGAGAAGCTGTGGGGGCTCAAAGGCCATGGGGCTGAGCCAAGTTTGTAATATTTTATGCACTATTTGCTAAGCTTGCTTATTTATCCATGGTTGCACCACACAGTTTGATAGCAAGTGCTGAATGTCCTCTCCCAAGGATTCAGGGTGGCTGGTAGGGCTTCCTTGGCATTTGGGAAAAGTCTCTGTACTGACCTAATCAGTTCACTCACTACATCAGTTTTAGGCACACTCTCCATCTGCACTGTCCTTTTCTCAGGAAAAAGTGTAATTACTTTGCACTGTTTGGTTTGTACTGGGAGTTAAAAAGTGCAGTACCTGCCATTCTGCAAGGCAATTTAAACATTTCCTTGGCAATAAAACCATTACACCTGTCTTGTTAAACAACTGGAATATTCATAGAATTAAAAAAAATAAGTTACTCTAATACTTACTGAATGTTGAACTATATTGTAATAAATACTGGCATTTTTAAAGCTAAAAAATGTTAGAGAATGTGGAATCAGTGTCCTTGAACCACAGCTACAGCTGATATCAGAATTGAAGTGTTAAATAGAAAGAACTAATTACTTCAACCTCTAATTCATGCATTTTTAAAAAGATTCTCTACCATGGTGAGAGTTTAACACTATAAGCTGTTAGAGACCCCTCAGCCTAGTTGTTTCATTCCTCTGTCTGCAGAAACATCACTAAAATGTTCCTAAGCAAAAGATAGGTTTAAAATAAAATAAGTTTTAAAAAGGCTTTCTTTCCTAAGTATTTGCTTACCTGTGATAAAGATGAATAGTCCCATCCCTTCAAGATGACCAGTAAATGTTTCAATTACAAACATTGTTAATTAAGTTCCAAAGTATTGCACAGACAACATGTGGAGGAAATTTCCCATTAAATTTTAAATATGGGAGGTTCAAAAGAAAATAATGCTTTAAAAGATATATTTCAGTAACTTTTGCCAGAGTTTTACAGATTTTCTGACTTCTTACCTGCTGAAAAATTCAAGTCATATCCACACTGCCTTTAACAATTTTCCTCTTCCCTTTTTGTGCTTACAGAGCCAGCAAAAACATCTTCTTTGTGTACAACAGAATCCGGAGCAAAGCCATCTGCTGCTAAAGCAATACTTAAACTCTCCCTTCTTCTCTTCCTGAAACAAACCACAGATCCACAATTTCCCAGTGTGCTGAATCCACCAGGCTGCAGGAAGGCTGCTGAGGAATAAAACAAGCTCTGGAATCCAAGAAGAGGCGAACAGCAGTGAGCAGGGAGGAGGAAGGACCAGTAGTCATGGGGATGGATTTTCCTCCACTGTGCAGTTTCCCTCCACCTTGTCAAACACCTTATCTTGCAATTTCATTCGCAATTATTTAATCTGTTCTGTAGTACAAATGTTTTCCCTATGTTGGATTTCATATATAAATATCTGCAGATGGCATATTGCTTTCTGAACTGATATGACTGTACATTAACCTGCTTGGAAAGAGCATGCACACCCTATTAAGTGTATCATTGACCTTATTGCAATTAAGATAATGAGATTTTCACTATAAATTGATATTTTAGCTCATACTCCACAGATATAAAAATATTCCTGAAAAGCAAAGCATGGCACATTGCATTAGCACATGGTGAAAAGGGGCATTATTTTTATTATTGTTTTTCCAGTAAAAGTTCATATATTTTTCAGTCACTTATTTACAAATATTAGTATTCAATTCAGTGTTTCCCTACTAAATATTTAGAGTGGACATTTATGGGATAGGAAAGGAACTGTTTTTCTTAGGATGTGGTAAATTGCTGTATAAACTCTTGAATTATTACCTGGGTCCACTTAAGCCCTAATATCTCAATCTGGGTTTTTTTTTGAGAGAATGATTTTTGAAAAGCAGTAGCAGGATTGTTGGGATGAGCAATACTGATGAAACTGCTGTTTAGAACTAATTACCTGGAAATATTGTTGGTTGTCATGCTACTGTATTTGCAGAAACTAGGGATGGGGTGGAGGGGCCTCTGTCATCCCCAGACAAACCTCCTGCTTCTCATATATTTCTATCTATCCATGATGTGTTTGTCCAGCCTGTTTTTTAACCATCTGTGGTAATCCTACATTAGGTACTCAACAGCCTAATATACTGTTAGGAAGACTCCTTAACACCTCCCCCTAAAACTTCCTTCTCTTTAGTTAAGCCCATTGCTTTTTATTCTAGGTGTGGTCTGGCAGTTCTGACATTTTAACCAAAAATGCTACAATCAAGCAATGTGAATATACTTTTCTAAAGCATTTCTAGAACTTGCTGGTTTTGGTTATGTCAAAAATACTACAAAAACAAAGCTTTACCAGAGTACTTTAGAAATTCTGCTTCTGGTTGTACTGTAACCCGAGGAAGTGAATTAGGACTTGAACATGCAGTGTGCAAGATAGGCGTCAGAACAAGCCATAAAAATGCATTATGTGTTTATAAAGGGAATAAGTCAACAAAATTAAAAGATGTTCTGATTCTATTTAAAAATTTCAAAGGTCAATTTGCTTATTGACATACGCCTCTGTTTCCAATATAACTCTGTGCAGTCCTTCATCTGCGGAAAAACTGGAGTGTTTAAAGTGAGATCCCTCGGTTTTATGGTCACATCAACCTGCTGCCTCGTGTGGATTTAATTGTGCTGTAACCTGTTGTGAGTTAGATCACATCCAGCATCAGAGGCCTGTGGGTGTAGCTGCTCCTGGTGTGCTCAAGCCTGATGTCAAAGGTGTGTATGCTGAGTGGGACCTATGGCTGTGTAGGAGGGATCGTGGTACGTCGTTTTCAGTCAAATGCTGGAGTGTCTGTTTGCAAAACAGGTTAATGGATACCAGAATTGTGTTTGCTTTTTATCAATGATCATGTTGTTTCTAAAGCGCTCAGTATTAAGTGATGGGTGAAGCACCATAATAGACAGTTTTTTAAAGTCTAAGTTTGTAGTAACTTCTGTTGCACTGACAACAATGTGTTGGTGAAAAATTCTCTAGCACATCAGTCCTTCGAGTTCTCCTTTTGCTTTGGCATTTACATGATTCCTTGCCCAGCAGGAATCTTGGCTGGTGGTTGATCACTCTAAACTTTTGCTGTTGCTTAGTTGCTTCTCTCATGTAGCTGTGCAGAAGTGCTTGTTCCTGGTGCAGCCCCTTCCTCAGAAAGCAAGATTTAGTACAGATGTGGAATTTCTCAGCTTCCCAGGTGAAACAGTTCTTTAACAGCAGATCAGCCAAGAGCTGGTTCAGTGACCTGTAACATCTCTGAAGGGTCATGGAATTACAGAGTGTTAAGGGTTCTGTCCCTTAAAGATCACCCAGTTCCACCCCCTGCCATGGGCAGGGACACCTTCCACTATCCCAGGTTGCTCCAAACCCCATCCAAGCTGGCCTTGGACACTTCCAGGGCTGGGGCAGCCACAGCTTCTCTGGGCAACCTGTGCCAGGGCCTCACCACCCTCACAGGGAAGAATTCCTTCCCAATATCCCATCTAACCCTTCCCTCTGTCAGTGTGAAGCCATTCCCTCTCATCCTGTCCCTCCAGGCCCTTGTCCAAAGTCCCTCTCCAGCTCTCCTGGAGCTCCTTTAGGCAGTGGAAGGGGCTCCAAGGTCTCCCCAGAGCCTTCTCTTCTCCAGGCTGAACACCCCCAGCTCTCCCAGCCTGGCTCCATAGTAGAGCTACTTGGAGCATCCAGCTTTTGGAGCATCTTCATGGCCTCATCTGGACTCACTCCAACAGATGCACATAGTTCTTACCTTGGGAGCTCCAGAGCTGGAGGCAGCACTGCAGGGGGGGGTCTCAGAGGGGCAGAATCCCCTCCCTCACCGCTGCCTTTGCTGCAGCCCAGGACACCTTTGCCTCTCTGGGCTGCAAACACACATTCCCAGCTCGTGATGAGCTTCTCGTCAACCAACAACCCCAAGTCTTTCTCCAGGAATATTTCCTCCTAATAAGCACTATTCCTTATAGCACTTCAAAGAGGCCTAGAAAAATAAACAAGAATAATTGGAAATCTCCTGTGTTAGTGTCAGATGTGCCGGTTAATGCCAGGAAAGTAAGATAATGTGCTCTGATGGAGGAAAAACACAGTCCCTGCACATTTCCCTGTTTTGTGGAGAGATCAACACCCTGCTAAGGGATCTTCAGTAAACAGCTTCTAATGTGACCAAACTAGCAACATCTGAATATTAGCTAAGTATGCACTGTAATTTTTTCCCCAGTGATGTGTATGTGTAACTTTGAGCACTGCTCCATGATTCAAAATTTTTTTCCTAATTGGAAAAAAATTATCACAAAAATCACTCGTGTTCCCTACCTGGAGTTTAGGTTTCACTCCATTATACTGCATAGCTCTAGAGGACTGCTTTGCAACATCCTCATTCTGATTCTTAATTCCGATTCTCAATTAGCTCATGCCTAGAATGAAAAGTCAACTGTTTGAAAATCTGATTTAACTATAAATGAGTTACTTATAATGGCATATTCATTTTTAAAATTATGTCATGCCACGAACTGTTGGCTAATTTCTGGACCTTATTCAGTTGGCACAGAGATGGAGATGGATATACTCCCTGGCTGGAAGGTTAGCATCTTGATTTTTTGGGTCAGCCAAGTCACTGTTCTCACTGAAAAAGAGATAAGATATGTGAGTAATTGTAATAGGAGTGTGACTGTGTTAATTCATATTTTATAATAGATTCCACTTTCCAAATCCTGATTCAATTCTTTGTATCTTTCCAGAACTTCTCCAGCTGATTTTTACCCAAAGTGATCTCTGCCAAAAAATGAATTATTTCAATAGCTCACAGACTTGGGAGGAATATGATAAAGTGTCTCTCTGGTTTGTTTTTTCCCCATTCTACAGTCTTTTTATAACAACACTGTGAGCACCAAACCCTGCTGTTCTCATGCCATGACATCTTTCAGTGTCCTAATTGTTAATTAAGAAATACTTATATAATCAAAAGGTTTTTCCTGTTAATCTGTTTCAATTTTCCAGCATGTTTCAAACTGTAATAGCAGTTTTGATTTTCTGTATTCAAAATATGAATTCTAGATTGCTATTTTGTGCCTTGGAAGGCTCACTTCCCACCACCTCATTTTAAAATTTCTTGAATAGCACGGATGTCTTACAGCTAATTCCAGGCAGGTACTTACTGAGCTTCATGGCACAACTCTGCCTGCTGTGTTCAAACAAAGCTAAATGTCAGTCATGCAAAAGCTCCACAAAACCACCCTACAGAGGTTCTGTGGAATGAGAAATAGATGGAGGCTAGGAATAGCTAAGGGAAAAAAATAAAAAGCAAGTAGATTTTAATTCAACTGGAAAATACATAATGAAAGATTTGCAGATGAGAAAGATCAGAGTGTGGCCGAGATTGCTGCTGGCTCCAGGTCTTCCCTTAGCAAAACTTATGATCCTGGACTAAGATACAGTGAAAGATCTCCCCTCTCACATCTGTCACAGCATTGCTATGTTCTTTGATCCTTCACAAGAACCTTGACTTTTCAGACCATATTTTGCTGCCTTACTTTCATCCTATCACTTCAAATTATGACCAGCTTTTATATAAAATTTTAGGAAAGGGAAGAAAGGAAATCAAGCATTATTACAGAAGAGTGAAAAGATGAAAGAGGGAAAGAGAAATTGAACTTCAGAGGCAAGAGGAGGGAGGGCAGGATTTAAGGAAAAATGTAATGTAAGTCCAAAGAAAAGGATGCAAATTCAATTCTCCGATGACTTCCCACTTCACCCTTCACAAAGGTGTGTTTCTCTCTTCAGCAAACTCCCCTTACAAAGAGCTCAGGGAAGATTTTGTTCAGTAGATAAACTTTGATACCACTTACTGAAGAAATAGTTCCTCTGGGTTATTCTGTAGTTTCCCTTTTATCTGTAGATATCTTATTTTGCATTAAGCAGATACAAGAGAGGGGAGTGTTTTATTCCCCATCAGAATTCACACAGGGGAGATATTTTTATCCTGAGGGGTGTCATGTTCAAACTTTAGGGAGACAAAGGACTATCCAGTTCCCTCTCAGTGCTTTTTAATCAGTCTTTTTCAACAAAAACCCCTCTCCCAACCAGTGCTAATTCATTAGAATCTCCAAAGTAAGATCACAGGTTTGATGTTCATGCAGATTAAAATAAAACCAGCTGAACAGAGTGAAAGATAAACCTTTGATAAAAAGGCAAGAGCTCTCTCAAAAACAGCTGTAGATCTTCCACAAGTTTTCACACCTGTAGCTAAACCAAGGTGCCAGGATGGGGAAGCTTCTGGTGCTGCTGGATGTTTTACCCAAAATGTCTTCTTATGACCCGCACAATTACTCTCTGCCTGAGGTGTTGGTTTGGCTAAGAGTGGGACTTCCAAAAGCCTAATAATATCTCTTTGAAATGATGAGATTAAAAACCCTTGCCTGAATGTGTGCAGATCTCAGGGTGATGTGGGAAATTATCGTTGATCTTCCATATTCCCAACTGTTCCACCTATGCACAGTTAGAAAAACCTGGGTGAAGTGTAGCTAAGATGGTGTTGTTATAGTCAATGCAGAACTAATTCAGCAAAACGTCTGCAAGAAGGATTCCTGTGGGTTTCAAAATGCTTTCTATCTGCTGAAAGGTAAAACCAGACCTAAGTCTAGAGGACTGCATTATAGTAAAAAACATACTTAAACTCATTAAAAATCCAAGTGATATACTTAAATTGTTCTATATCACCATGGCTGGCTTCCAGAGTCAACAGATGTTGATTAATTTTTTTTAAAACAAAGATGTTGAAACAAGTTAAAAGAATATGATTTTGTGTTTATATGAAGGTTTATATAAAATATTTATAACAGCTACTTGTGACTAATGTTCTTCTATTGCCCCTCATGCCCTTTTCCAAAACTTCATTGTTCCTTTTCTGTCTTGGCAGTTTGGACTCATTGAAGAGCAGGACAAGAGGATGTTTCTTTAGTGACAAAAATTGATATAAAGAATTCCTTAATAACTTATTTTGTATCATCTTTTACTCAGAATATATAGTAGCATAGGAAGCCTAGTGCTGGAAAGGGACTGTTCAGATGTCTTTTTTATGATCTCTTAAGCAGTGATGCCCTCCTGTGGACTCCAGACAGTATGATTTCTACTGGAATAACTGGAAAGTTGTATGCATGAAAACGATGTGGTTTCTTTCTAACACTCTAATTAAGGACACTCTAAGTAAAATATCCTATGATGACATTTAACATAGGGCATTATTTGGCCAGTGCTTCTGGTTTGAGAAATACATTTCCTTTAGGTGGATGACACAGGTGGAGCTTTTATCTGAAAAAGTGCCTAAATTTAGAAACTTCAGGTGCTTATACAATGATTTTTATTTATTCTACAGGTTGCTATCAGAGTTGAAACAATGTTTTGCTGCAACTGCCCTGTCAGAAGGGGAAGAGTACAGATTTCTTTTGCATGGTGCTTTCCTAGGAATTTTTAAACACATAGGAGAGGGTTATGCATTTACTCATTTACAATTAGAAACAGTTCAAAGGTATGGTGGAAAAGGGCATTTCAGGAGCAGGGAAAGCCACCTAGTTCATAGGAATGTGTATAACAAGTGCCTGAGTGCACAGATCAGGTGACTGGATGCCTCACCAGGCATGAATCCGACAGGAATTGCAGAGGTCCGGCTGGAATCTCCACAGCAGCTCAGATGACTTGGGAAGTATGAAAGTCTGAGAGACTCAGAAGAAACTGATGCTCAGCTGTCTAGGAAACCTCCTTCCCCAGGGCCACAGAAGGACACTAGGTCAAGTGGAGTTTGGCCTTTCTGTAGTATCAGAGGAGACATTTTCACCTGCAAGTGATGGGAATGTTTGTCTGAAAGGCGTTTTCCTTTCATTAATCAGAAGTGCAAATGAAGAGGAAGGATTTGGGCTACACTTGAGTAGTGTCAGTGACTTATTTTTCCTACTGATTTACTCACGTCTTAAAGACCCTCATGTCCTCCTCCTGATGCAAGCAGTGACTCCTTTCTCTGATCTCTTCTTTGGCCTACTTGTCTGTCTTGTTCTCAGGCAGAGAAAGTGAGCTGCAAACAAACCTTCTCTTTCTTTGTTATCCATTGAGGCCACGAGAAGCTCCTCTTAAATTTTCTTCCTTTTTTGCTGTAAATTATTATGGGTCTATAAAACTCTCATGGATTATTTTCTACATGAAACATATTGATTTTTCTGGCAAAGGGCCACACAGTTTTTACAATAACTAGTAGGTGAAATATAGTTTTGTGTTTCCTGTAATTGTGTGGAGCTTGCAGATGGCCTCTGGGAAGAAGCTTTTTATTTAATAGAGTAGGATATATTTGTTTATTTTTAAACCACAAACACTTCAGTGACACTATGAGCATATTCTCTTTTCTACCAGATAAAATGATTGTGTCTGTTCATGCATTGAGATAAATGGATTTAAACATGTGACATCATGTTCAGCCTCTCTGGACTTCCTCTGGGGCTGTGGTTAACCAACCTTCCAGCACAGTCAGTGTTACACTTGTGTCTGCCAGTCTCCTAGGGAGCATTTCCAATTCCTCTCTATCAGGGGGATGTTGCAGTTCTGCTTCCTTCCTCCTGCCAGCACCAGCAGATCATGCGAAAATAAACTGTTTCAGAAAGCTGAGGCAGCTGAAAACTTAAGTTCTTTTTCGTGATAAAATTATTTTTGGCTGTCTCGGTTCTCTTAAGTGCATTGCTGTGTGTTTGCACAAGCATCAAGGCTGGCACATGGGAAAAGGCAGGATTCCAGGGCTGGAGCAAAGCAATCCCAGAGCATATCAGCTCAGACAACTGTGGAATTACATCCTGACACGGTGCCCAGTGCAAAACTGTAACGGTGGGTGAATTGAACCACACTGTGAACTGACCTTCAAGGAAAGAACATTTCACCGCAAAAGCCATTCTTAGTTCCTGTGTAATTTTTAACATAAACCCCAGTGGCTGCAGTCTTCATGCTGGCAATGTTTAAGGTACTATTAAAGGAAAAAAAAGAAAAAAAGGGAAAGGAAATTGATCTCGCTATTAGTCATTTCATAGGGCTCACATACCCTTGATCTCTAGTCATTTCTCTGAGAAAATACCTCCTTTTCAGAGATTTAAGGATGAGGAGGCAGTGATAGAGTTGGAAAGAGGACTAGGAAACGGGGGAGGAAACAGTAGCTGGAAAAGTGAGTGAGAAGGAATCACAGAGTCGTTCAGGTTGGAAAAGCCTTCCGAGCTCATCGAGTCCCACCATTCCCCCCGCGCTGCCAAGGCCACCACTAACCCATGTCCCGAGGTGCCACATCCACACCTCTGTTAAATCTCTGCAGGGACGGTGACTCCACCACTGTCCTGGGCAGCTGTGCCAGGGCTGGACAGTCTTTTCTGTGAAGAATTTTCTCCTGATATCCAATCTCACTCTTCCCTGGCACAGCTGGAGGCCGTTCCCTCTCCTCCCGTCCCTTGTTCCCTGGGAGCAGAGCCCGACCCCTCCCAGCTCCCCCCTCCTGTCAGGGGGTTGCAGAGCCAGAAGGTCCCCCCTGAGCCTCCTTTTCTTCAGGATGAGCCCCCCCAGCTCCCTCAGCCCCTCCTGCTGCTCCAGCCCCTTCCCCAGCTCCGTTCCCTTCCCGAGACACGCTCCGACCCCTCAATGTCCTTCTGAGAAAACAGACCGGGCAGTTGGGAGTGTGTTGAAAAGGGATGGATGGACACAAAGGTGAAAAGAACCACCGCTAAGAGGGAGCAAATGGGAAGCGGACGGACCGGAGCGGGTAAACCCCAGAGGAGGGGAGTGAGGAACGCGCTGTTGGCGATGCCCTGAGGGGGAGGCGAGGGACACACAGAGGGACAGCAGAGCCCGGCGGGGCTGTGCCCGCGGGTCCGGGAGTGTCGGTGTCCAAAGGGGGGGGTCTTAGGAGGAGAGACCAGGCTCTGCTCGGGGGTGCCGAGCAATGGGACGCGAGACGACGGGCAGAAACTGATGCACAGAAAAGGGCCACCTGAACATGAGGCAGAACCTTCCCGTACAGTGACCGCGCACAGACTGCCCAGAGACGGTATGGGATCTCCCCGGAACCGCGAGGACGCCGTGCTGCGCGATGTGCTCTGGGGTGACCCCGGCGGTGCCCGCCCCCCTGCCCCGCCCGGGGCTCCGTGAGGGGCCGGACGAGTCCCCCCTCAGGGCTCCCAACGGTCCCCGCGTTCAAACGCTCCCGCGCGACCCCCCGCGCGCCGCGGGGCGGGGCCGCCCGCGGAGGGAGCGCGCGCCGTCCCGCAGCGCGCGCCCCGATTGGCCGCGGGCCCGGCGCATCGCCCCGCCCCTCCGCTCGGCGCGCGCCGAGCGCGTCCCGCGCCCCCCATTGGCCGCCCGCACCGTCCTTCAACCGGCGCACCTCCCGGAGCCGTGGCGGGGGTCGCGCCCTCTGATTGGCCGCCGCGCGCGTCCGTCGCGCCCACCGCTCCGCCCCCTTAAAGCTGAGTGGCTGGCGGCGCTGGCGGCGCGCCCCCATTGGCCGCGGCGGAACACGGGGCGTGCGCGGGGGGCGGGGCTCCCGGCGGCCCCTTTGTGTGGGCACCAGTCGCCGGCCGCGCTCCCGAGAAGCCGCCGCCGCCATTTTGTGCGCGCCCTGTGCTCGCCCCCACCCCCGCCCGCCTTTCCGCGGGAGCGGCGGCACCGGGGAGGCCCCGACTGCGCTGCCGGGCCGCTGAGGCGGGAGCGGAGGCGCCGCGTCGCGCCCAGGGACCCACCGCCGGCGGCCGCCGCAGCCCTGAGGTCGCGCTGCTCGCGGCGGGGGGAAGAGGCGGCAAGACGGAGCAAGGGGGGAAAAAACCTCCGGAGCTGCTGCCCCCGAACAGGAGGAGGAGTCTCGGGGCCAGGCCCAGGCGCGGCGGCGGCGGCGGCAGCAGCAGCGGCGGCAGCATGGAGAACTCGCAGCTGTGCAAGCTGTTCATCGGCGGGCTGAACGTGCAGACCACGGAGGCCGGGCTGCGGGAGCACTTCGCGGCCTACGGCACCCTCACCGACTGCGTGGTCGTGCTCAACCCGCAGACCAAGCGCTCCCGCTGCTTCGGCTTCGTCACCTACTCGGCGGTGGAGGAGGCGGACGCCGCCATGGCCGCGTCCCCCCACGCGGTGGACGGGAACGCGGTGGAGCTGAAGCGGGCCGTGTCCCGGGAGGACTCGGCCAAGCCCGGCGCGCACGCCAAGGTGAAGAAGCTCTTCGTGGGCGGCCTGAAGGGGGACGTGGGTGAAGGGGACCTGGTGCAGCACTTCAGCCAGTTCGGCCCCGTGGAGAAGGCCGAGATCATCGCCGACAAGCAGAGCGGGAAAAAGCGCGGCTTCGGCTTCGTCTACTTCCAGAACCACGACGCCGCCGACAAGGCGGCCGTGGTCAAGTTCCACCCGATCCAGGGCCACCGCGTGGAGGTCAAGAAAGCCGTGCCCAAGGAGGACATCCAGGCGGGCGGGGGCGGCGGCGGCTCCTCCAGGCCCTCGCGGGGAGGCAGAGGAGGAGGAGGAGGAAGGGGCCGGGGCGGCGGCGGCTCCGGCAACCGGGATCACAACGGGCTCTCCAAAGGGGGCGGCGGCTACAACAGCTACGGCGGCTACGGCGGGGGCGGAGGCGGCGGGTACGGCTCCTACGGCGGCGGGTCCTACGGAGGCGGCGGCGGAGGGGGCGGCGGCGACTACGGCAACGGGTACGGCGGGTTCGGCAGCTACAGCCAGCACCAGTCCTCCTACGGCCCCATGAAGAGCGGCGGAGGAGGTGGAGGAGGGGGCGGCAACTGGGGGGGCCGCAGTAACAGTGGACCGTACAGAGGAGGTTACGGTGGGGGAGGCTACGGGGGCGGCTCGTTCTGAGCTTGGAGTGCCCATACCCATTGAGGAGGGAGGCGTGAAGAGCCCTCCCTTCGATACGGGGCAGCTTCTCAATGGTTTCTCCCCTCACCCGCCGAACGGCAGCTCCTTTTAAATGCCTCCCTGCTGTGGGAGCGGCTCCTAAATGCCCCCTGAGGGTCGCCTCTGCTGCCTGTGCCACTTCGTTCTCTCTGAAGATGGACTGGGCCCCACATACACATACTTTGTGTTACAGTCATTGATGGACTCTATTTTTTTATTATTACTTGGACCTTGGTCGTTTTTATACTAGCAACGAAAAATGTCTTGTTTTAATTTGTTTTTTGGGGGGGTGCGGGGTGGGAAATGTCTTGCTGATCTGGAGTAAAAACTGGGGAGGGATGGGGGGGAATTTCCTTTGTTGTAAGGACTCGATACCTGGCTACTACGTTTTTTTCTACAAAAGCTACTCGGATCCCATGACTGACTTTAACATTTCTGTAAAGGAGGGAAAAAATGGTTTTTACGTTTTTTATTTTTTAAATAAATCATTGTGTTCATTGACCTTTACACGTCTAATTTTTTTTCCTAGGATCAATTCCGTACGGTTTTCAGGCTTTTCTAGGTTTGAAGCAAGTGTTCTTCTGCTTTAAAAATCTCTATGTACTTAGAGTAAATATTTTGTTGCCGGTAAAGGTCCTAACTGACTTTTTTGCTAGTGGCTTTGAAACACTTGACAGAGAAAATTTTGAAGTACTAATCCGTGGATGTGGTCTGTTTTTTAAATTCTCGTTCTCACTTAGTTCGTGTGCATCCACCATCTTGTACTAGGCAGTTTGACGTGCTGACATGGTTGGTCAATTTTTTTCTATAGGATTTTTCCATCAACGTATGTACTGTGTAGTTTTGAAGAAATAGTTTGTGTTAAGCATGTGCTTCATTCATATAAAATGTTCAGAATTTCCGATTGCTTAGTTTTCAAGTCCTCTTATGGGTTTGTCTGTGTGTGATTCCTTCCAGGAAAGGGTCGACATTTGTCCCTTCTATTTAACACGTACTTGTTTTCATAGTACCGGGTTAACAGACTTTTTCACTCGGAACTATTGTCCTTCCTTAAACTTCCCGGCGAATTCTCGCAGCTCCATCTGCTGTCGGGATGGCAGCTCCGTGCTGTGGGCTTCCTTAAAACGGGAGCAAAACCGGTTTGCTAACAATTGTACCAGACTTTTGAACGTTATTTTATGCCACCAGATTGGTGTAGAGTGCAATGACATCTGCACTCTGAATACAGATGGGCTCTGTGAGTACTGACTGGGAAAAAAAAAAAAAGGAATGGATTTGCAATACCTGCCTCAGCACGTAATTTTTTTAATAATAATTGCAGTTGCCCATATTTCAGAAAGTGGTAACCTAAACTCCATGGGCAAAGTGCTCTGAGAACTGAGCCAGCAAGTGTACCAGCAATATAGGTGCCAGTTGTAAAGCAAAAATATCTGTGTAGTCTGCTTGATTAACAAATGTATATTTGTAGCCCTTTCACGCAATAGAATTAAAAGTTTGTTGTTTATTAAAAAGCATAATGTTTTAGGGGAAAACTGCCTTCCTGCATAGAAATATAGAATAGCAACGTTTATGGGTTTATGGATATCAAATAAAAGATTTGAATTCCTTATATGCTTGAGTGAGAGTATATATGATACGGGGCATGGATTTCAAAAGTACAAAGTTGTTTCGACTTCAGGTTTCTAAGCACGTAGTCGTTTATGCTGATGCTTCATGGGACTGCATCGTAAAACCTGCTTTTTGCTTTGCTCCAGATATGCAAGATATTAGGCATATAATTCCCACTGATCCCAGTGGGAAGTTAAGTGTCTAGGGCTTTGTGCTTCTGGGCTGAAGGATTTCGCATTAAATTTCAAGGTACTGTTGCTATTTGATGTCAATCTAACCTGGTGCTGATTTTAATTGAAATGAGTCTGTGCTATTAGAAGTGACACTGCATCAACTTAATCACTTGTGCTTAAATAAACAGGACAACCTTTTGGTATCATCAGGATTTAAACCAAGAGCTGAGTTTCCTCTTGATTGTGGTAATTTATGTCTCTTAGAGCGAGACTGGTTCCTTTGGCTTAGCTTAGCTTTTATAAATAGTTTCCAAATAAATTGCTGTTTGCAACTATATTGTAATTTTTGTCTCAAAAGCTTGTTAGCCTCTGTTGTGAACCAGCATCATTGATATCTTGTAAATCAAAGTAGTTTCAGAGAACTATTTGTAAAACACTGCAAGTGCCAGCTCTCGTCAGCACACAGCTTCAGGTGGTTTTATTTCAGCTTGAAGTTCTTACTGTACCTTTGCACTTTACAGCCATGTTGGACAGTCATCCTTGAACTTCACTTGAAGCACAGCTCTCCTGTTTGTAGCTGAAATGAGCTACTGAGTTCTAGGTTATGTCTCGGTTTTGGGTGTATGATTTAGTCCCTCGCAGTGGTGAGTTGCCTTAACCTTATCAAGGAACAGCCTGGTTTGGAGAGAAATGGTAAAATTCACTGTTGTGATGTGGCTTGTCATTTGGCTCGGGAAGGTAAAGGTTTGTGCACCAACTACAGCTTTATGGTCTTTTCATATGTTACCTGCCGTGGCAGAATATGTTGATGATAGAAACAAGTAGCTTTTTAAAAAAAAGTGGCTTTGTGTGTGAAATCTGACAGTTTGGGAACCCTTGTACTGAAATGTGCTGTTTGGTTATCTCTGTGCAATAGTCCTTGTAGGACTCATGTCTGCTAAAGAGTTGATCCCAGAAATTGCACCTGTATTGGGGAGTGTGCTGCCTTGTCTCTCCCTGAAAAGACTGTCACCTGTTTAACAGTGTTTTGGGGTGTCTTGAGTAAGTAGCATTTGCTCTGCCCTGATCTCTGGTCTCTCTGGAGCAAGGAATTCTTCTGACACTGCAGGTGATGTTGGAGAGGCTCGTGTCAGCACTTGGGGCAGCAGTGCTGGGATGTACCATGGAGTACAGAAAGATGCAAATCTGTACTGGGTAGCATTAAAGACACAGAGACTTACCTTTGAATACAGAGCTGTTTCTAGTACAGTTCCTAGTAATCAGATTTGTTGATAAAGCCTTGCTTATTTATTTAAAGGTATTTAATAATATTTTCTGCCCCCTGGGTGGATTTGTCTTCACAGAGGTGTGTGGGAAGAACTGAGATGACATGAGGTGTTATAGCTGGCATGTAAAAGTTTGTGATTTCACAGTTGCTTTAGGGTGGTCACAGAGATAGAAATAAAGTAACTTTAGTTTGCTGTCCCTTAGTTTGTAGTTCAGTTCTGAAGTTCCTATATCTGAAAATATCTCAGTAATTTAATGGCCTTCTGTTCAGAACCGATTACTGGATTGTGCTGGTGTCACCTGTGAGAAATAGAATAGTGAGAGCAACTGGTTTACTTTTAGCATTTAATAAAGTAAAAGTGTAGTAGTTTTCTTAAAACACAGAAGTTCTTTTTATTTTTGTAATCTGCATGACCAAAAAGAAATTCCCCAAACCAAACTTTTCAGACTGTGTTGTGATGTACATGTAGTTTTTTAATAGCAATGGGTGTTCATGTCTACTCTAAAGTATAATTTGTTCTTGATTCTGCTTCTTGTATGACTTGTACGTTTTATTTGGCTAATAAAATTAGCCTAACTCACACTTTTATAATACTGGCTTCTACTGCATTAAAAGGAAACATGCTGAAACACCTGTATACATGATGTAATGATACTTGCACAAGTTGATGGAAGTACCTCCTACGTGTTTGTTTTACAGTAGGTGATGAAAAGGTGGTTTAGAACAGTGGTAAGTGTTGGCTGAAACAGCTTCAGTGGCAGCAAATCTCTGTGGGTCACTGACAGCAGTGACAGACTTGCAAAATAAAAGCTGTGTCTTGCCCTGCAGGCTCTCTAGTGTGCTTGGCTGGACAGTCCCTGCCCTCCAGAGCTGAGCAAGCTTTTGGGTTTGTGTTGGGTGTTGCAATAATTGCGAGTGGTGCAGCTGCAGTTCAGGCTCCAGTGCTGGCTCTGGGTCTCTCGGCTGCACTCACAGGAGCCCAGACCTGTAGGAGATCGGGGTGTGCAGAGCTGGGCACTGACAGGAGGTGCCTGAACTCTGTCAGGTACTTCTTGCACATGTACTTAACGACCTGTGAAGCAGAAATATTTAAGATGTCTAAAAATGTTAAAGTTCTCAAATGCTTTATGGTGTGCTTTGCTCCTACCTTCCCTCCAACTTAGATCCCTTCTATAAAGCAAATTTTGCTATCATTTAGCATTGAAAGACCTAAGTGGATGGTGTAGATCAGAACACTGGTTTATTATTCTGCCCTGTCAGCTGATACTATTGTCCCAAAATAATGGCATTCCTTCTCCTGCTGGAAAGGGTCTGAGCTGGAATGGTGCTGAGGACCCCAACCTCCCATTCAAGTCGAAAATAGAGCAGCTGCTTTTTTCCATGTGCCTCAGAATGTTCATTCTAAAATGCAAAAGCTTGGCTTAAATTGTTAATTGGTGTCTAAGAAATAACCTGGAGGACACCCCTCTGATGTGCACACAGTGAACAGAACACCGTGTGTGTTGTGAGAACGGGGTTTTGCTCCGACAGTCTGGGAGAGGGTTGGTTTTCTGATAGAAGGCAGCTTAGCCAAGCCTTTAGATTAGCATTGCTTGTCCTGCTGTATATATTATGGATTAGTGTTTATCACAGAATCAACAGTTGGTACCACGTTTCTGTGGTTTACATTGTTCCAGACCTTTACTTTCAGAGCTCTTAGGAAGAAGGCATTTTCATTACGTTTTCCAAACTGCCTGTGCATAATACCTTGGATTAATATTAGGTGACTGAAAGTGTAACACCCAAAATTTTAGTCTTTCACCTTAGCCAGAGGTGTGGTTTACAAAACAGTGAGTTATTTAACATGTTTTGCATAACTGATTCTGTGATCTAATGTATGCATCCGCTGAGGATGAGTTTTCTGCTTGTTATTTTTGTATTTCTTGAATGAATAAAACAATTGTATCCCTGCTTCACTTGAAAATGTATTTCACGATGCAAGCACACCACAGGGAGATCTGAGCCAGCCTGGACCAGCACTATTTGCTTTTGTTGATGGGCATTTTTTAGATCTATTGAAGCATTACCACTCTATTATTTCTGGCATGTGTATGGGTACACACAGGCATTACCTCTGCTTCCACTTACCTTAATGAGTATTTCTTTGTGCTGTAATGTAAGTATAACTGCTGATGAGTGTCAGGTGTGTATTTCTCATAACAGGGTGAAAGTCTCTGCTATGTATTTTTCCCTAGGAATTTTCTATCATTTACCTCTGTAGCTAGGACTTGTAAAGGGGCTGATGGAGTTTGGGTGCTTTCCTCCTTGATGTTCCTTTGACAAACCCTAGTCTTTTTACCTTCTCTGCTCCCAGAACTCTCATCAATTTCTGTTATATATAAATGGGAGGGAATAGTAGTTTTTGAACTGATCTCTCTTGTTTGTATGGTTCTCAGAGTGTTTTAATCATATCTATATTCCCCTTGAAACCATCTTGCTGGGAAAATGAGCAGTGGGAACACTGAAAGAACAAGGGCTATAAAGCTGTAGTTCAGTGCAGAAGAGACATTCTTCAGATTTTTTTATTTCCTGTAGCTCTATATACTGAATAGAGTGAACAGCTAAAAAGATGGAATAGTTCAGGTCTAGGCTGTAACAAAAGAAAAAAACAACACCAGCCAGCATAAAAAATAAAATTCAAGTCCAGTTCTCTGTCCATGGTTTGGCCTTTGCCAGTAGGAATCCTAAACAGTATTTTTTAAAGTGTGTTCTCAGTGTGGTTAGTCTTGGTATAACTTTATTTGCTCAAAGTCTGTTTAGGCAAAGCTGCAGTGTTGCCTGTTGCTGTTACAGTAAACGCTGGGCTTAGAGCTTGGGCTATTCTCAGATTGTCAGCCATCCAAGTAACCAAAGCTCCTTAACTTTGAAAACTAGATGTCAAGCCCAGGCAGACTAATAATGCCATCTGTCTGAGGCATCTGGATATTGACCCTCTTAGCATGATGTGTGCAGTTTCATTCCCAAATGCTTTCGCAAATGGAAAAGACACAGATCTGGAAAGAACAGCTCTTCCAAAAAAAAAAAAAAAAAAGAATTGGACTATGTTGAGCTATGTGCAATTTTGGTACATATTATATTCATCAAACGACTAAAAATATCTCTTTTCATGAGTAATGCAGTAAGGAATTGATGCCAATTCAGAAAGGGATTACGTTTCTGGCTGGAAATGTGTCAAGATGCACATTTGCTCACCACCATCAAAGTGCAAATCGCTGATTAACATTGCAGAAAAATTCCTTAGAAGCAGAACGAGCTGACAAATCTGAAAATACTTTATTTGTTCAAATGCTACTTTGTACCATGGAATTGCCAACTGGTTTGTCTCACAGAAGCCCTGCTCTCCTGGGAATGCTCGTTGAAGTGAAAGACAGGCAAAACTACACATTTGAAAACATGCTGTTAGGCTGTAATCTAGTCAATATAAAAGATGAATATCATCTCAGTCTCTTCTGTCATTTCTGTAACTTTTGTTGCTTTCTACAGCTTTACAATGGATTTTTTCTATTCTGTAAGAAAATTTGCTTTCTACAAAGCCCCCGGGGGAAGGAAGGATGAGTGTAGTCACTGCAGGCACTGACTGGGAAGAAGAAAGGTCAGGAGTCCTGTCCCTGTTTCCAGCACAGATTTGGATTAAAGCAATGCTGGTTAAAATGCACGAGTAGTGTTTGGGACTGGAAGTTCCCGTGCTTTTTACTTGTTCTCTGTGGATCAATAATCTTGTTTTCTTTGCTGCACACTGACACAGCTCCGGTGGGAAACCTCCTCTCCCAACCACACACCCTGATGAGCAAATTGCAGCATGGGCAGGGCACAGCCCTGGGGGGAGGCTGTGCTTACCTACTTATTGTATACAAGCACAGCACTATCAGCTGTGTTTTGAAAGAGTTTACCCCTGTTTCATCCTCCAGGTCCCCTCCCTCCTCAGTAGGGATGTCCTCTGGTTTCGAGCTCGTGTGCTGTTCCTGTGTTGTGAAAGATCTCTAAAGCTAAATTCCCAGTTCTCTCCTTGTGGTTATCTAGTACCTCTTCAGGTACCTCTTCAGGTTTTAGTAATCTGTTAAGTTTACTGGGTAATAAATTTGGCCAAAGTCCTTCACTGTGGGACTTCATTTGGGCTTGTTTAATTGTTTTCTTTCCACCACTGCTGGAATAATGATGCTCCCTTTACTGGAGAGAAAGCTCCTTTGGGTCCTGGTGGAGAATTCAGGGTTTTTCTCCTGAGATGACTGCAGGGTGGTTGTAGTTGTAATTGCTGATGCCTCTTGCATAAGGTGTTTAGCAAAGTGCGTTCTGCAAGAGGAGTGCCAGCTTTCTACATGGAGATGTATCCTGGAAAAGAGAGATCCCCAGGAGCACAAGGAGTTCCAGCTCATGCAGTCAATGACCTGGTGTGCATCACTGTGCCTTTCCCTTAAGCCCACCTGTCTGTTATTTCCTGCAGTCTTAAAAGCAGGCAAATTATTTTTCTCTAATTACGTCATTCAGATGCTGTTATGGGAGTTTGCTTTTCCTCACCCAGCACCAGCTCGAATCTGGGTTTCCACTCTGCAGCATCAATTTGACTTTCACAACTTCTTTGAGGCACGAGCTTGGTGATGAATCAGCAGCACGTGTGTTTTGGAAATGTTACCGTGGGTTTGTGGGTAGCTGGTGGCAACGGGGAGCTCTTGTTTTTGGTATACTGGGGAGTCAGATGAGAGGGAGTTGAGAAACATCACCTTGGGAAGGAGGAGCTGGGCTTGTATTGCTGGTGCTGCTCTATTCCAAAAGATTGCAATGAGCTGATGCCACACGCTCTCTGATGCCTTCTCAAAGTGTGTTTTCTTTCTCTCTCACAGGGTGCTCTTCTGCCTGGATGAGAGGATGGGAAAGCTGAGCTCTGAAAAGCACACCACAAAAGTCCAGTAAGTGAACAGGAACCTGAGCTGAGCCCTTTAAATACAGTTCCCACTCTGAATATGCTATGGAGATTGGGCAGAAAAGGGGTTTGTCCAGAAAATACCAAGCAGGATAATGAAGGACAATCTGTTACCAGTGAGAAAGACATGCTGCCTGAGACAGCTTTTGCTGTTCAGGTAAAATAATGTGCCTGCAGAATCAATCTTGCCCAGACTTTGTGTGTGACAGCTACATGATGTCCATTTGTGTTGGTGTTGCAGCATGTTTGTTACAATACAAGGGTGGTAGACTATGTTTCTTGGCTTTTGCAAAGAACAAGAAATCAAATATTTTAAAAGATTTCAGGAAGAGAGCGAGGCAATGAGTGTACAGGGACTAATAGTAAGGAGACTTGGGTTATGGTTGTGAGATCCTGAATGAAAATAGGTTTGTTTATGCTGGTCTCTCTGAGTTACAGTATACAAATATTAATTAAGCCATACATCTTCATGAAGCATATGGGCAATTTCCCCTTATTACAAAAGGGAATAGTGGAAGCATTAAGGGTTATATTTTAAAGTCGAAGAATCACATTAAAATGATATCTTATGCAAAAAATTTTGGGGAAAAAAAAATCCCACTTTTTGGACCATAGCCTAAACTTTTTCTCAAGTCCACGTGTTCAGCCTGTGGTGAGAACTTCAGTAGATAGATGTACTCTAAGGAGAGGCAGAGAGACTTGCTGATATTTAGGCATCTGAATACCAGCCTTTGCCTTTGCTCCAGCACCCACAACAGTTGTTTTTACAGCTTTCTTCCTGAATGTTATTTTTTTTTTCCTTTTGAGCACTCAATTCTAAATGATAAAATCTATCTGCAAACCTTCCTGCAGGTTTCTGATAAATACATAATGTGACTGCAGGGCAGGAAGTCTGTGCCTCTGACACAGGTGACTGCGGGTGACATCCGTGGCTTATGCTACAAGGAAGAGTCAGAGGAGCAGCAGGAAGGATGTTTTCAGCCGGGGGGTTCCTGCTGTGTAGGGTAAACAGTAGAACAGCTCAGGCCCCAGAAAGCACAGCTGGGGGGATGAAGATGACCAGGGGTTTTTACTCTGAAGGTGGTTATTATGAAGCTGTTGGAATAAAACTACTATTTTTATAGGAGTGGTGGCTTATTTGAAAGACTAGAGGAAAGTGCATGTCTAAAGCCCGGTTTTGCTGGCTTGTGGCAGGCGGGAGTGTGGGAAGGGGTCGTGTACCAGCAGAGGGCAACAGTCTGGAGCTCCGCTGGAGATGCCGGTGGCTCCTGCAGCATCTCCGCCTGGGGAGGGATCCCGGGGGGACGGTGCTGGGGAGGTGCTCCAGCCCTCTGCTCTAGGAATCACATTTAGAAACCAGTGCTTCGGGGGTCTCCTACTGCTTCAGCTGCCACATCATCACTGATTCCAGCTCTCAGGAGGTCCTTACCTAGAAGGTCTCCTAGAGCTTCCTTTTGAGCCTGGTGATAACCTGAATCCCTGTGAGTTGCTGCAGTAGGTAAATTTTAGCTGCTGTTTTGGTTCTGTTATGTGAGAGCCTGCTCTGAATTCGAGCACTGGTTGGGCAGCAGGGACCTTCAGGCCTTCCCTGCTGAGACATCTCAAGCTCCTGGTCCTTTGGGAGCCAGGGCAGTACCTGAGCACCACCTCTGAGTGACTTCAATTCACCACAGAGCACACCAGAGCAGCTATCTCAACAGATACCTTACACTGCTTTTCTTATATTAATTTCCTTAATGGACCTTTTCTCAAAAAACATGTGGTCTAAATGCAGATCTCTCTAAACGAATACTTACTTAATTAGAATGACAAAATAAGTTTAGTTGGAAGGGACTTCTGAAGAGGATCTAGTTCAAACACCCCTTAAAACAGGACCAGCTTCAGGGTCAGATCAGCTTGGTCACTCAAAGATAAATATATACACTTAATATATGCATTAATAAAAATGTATGTATGTATAAAACCATATATTTATCTAAGTATATAAATATCTAAATATATATATGTCTTTAAAAAAACCCAACAGATTGAAAAACAATTTAGGCTGAGAAGATGCAACTTTGGAAGCTTCCATGAATGCAGTGTTTTGTGTACACCTTTACCAGCTCTTCAATGCCAAAGCCATAGATTATTTTTATAAGAAAGCTGATTAATAATCTGGTGGAGGGGATTATGCAGCTAAACAGGAGAGGTGCTAAAGATAGGAAATTGCTTATGATATGGATCTATGGAACCTGTATATTGGTATGTACCTGGAAACAGGTATGTACAGTGAAGTGAGGGGTTCCCAAATCACTGTTTGTGTTGTATTTAATCTGTATGATCCTGATTCAGGGCTCTTGCAGTTTGCCTTGCAGAGCTGGGAAGGGTTTTTTCCCACCTTGATGAAGTTTGCTTTCTGGAGAAGCTGTGGAGATTGGCAGGATATTTTCCAAATGTACTGGGGCTCTTCACAGAATTAAATTCTTGTCAGCACTCAATGTCCTTTACTTACAACCTCAGGGCTAAACCAGCTGCTGGATTTAAGGCCAGTAGGTAGTTTTGGATCAGACTGGCAGGAATTGTTTTTATTCCCTCCCTTCCTGCCATTTTTATTGAAGAAATTCCTTGCTGCCATGGGGACACTGGCAATGCTTTGCTCTCCTCTCCCTGTGGCTCGTTGGAGTTGAGGGGTTTGGTCTTTCACTGTAGATCTGAAGATTGTTGCAGGAATCTGGAAAGGTTTTGGTGGGCCAAGGGTTGGTGGGACTGGCTGGAACAGGAGCTCTGTGGACCTTTCTGCTCTGAGTATCAGTTATATTTTGTCAGTAATTGAAGGTAGATTAGATGTAGGAGGAATTTAGGACTACTTGGGACTAGGAATTTTTGAAAGAGGCTGGAAAATTTCCACCCATCAGGTGTTACCTATTCCTTTTAGCTGGATACTTTTTACAAGAGACCAATCTCTGAACCTAAAAACAAGCAAGAAGTTTCGGTCTTGGGGTTGTTACCCTGTCATGATTATTTTGCAAGGCTGCTCTAAAGATAATCTCTGATTACTGGGACATGCTTTTGTCCCGTTCCAGCAAGGACTGTTTACTGGTTTACTTGTCTGTCACTGGGATTTACCTTTCTGTGGTTGCTGTCAGGATTTGTAGAATTCAGTGGTACACAAGCCAGTGGGTCAATGCACATAAGAAAGTATTGCTGGTTTGGTTCAATTTAGGTTTGAGCTCATATCTTGCAGTTTTGCATGTTGTGCATCAAGTGTGTAAGGCTGGACACTGGGACGTACTTGAGGATTTGGGTGTGTTAAAATGATAGTTTAACAGGATTCTGAAGGGGAAATAAGGAATTTTGCCTGAATCCTGTGTGAGGTTTGACTTTATGGCTTTATCTGTATTTCTCCTGTTTATGGGGGGGGCTGCCAAATGGTGTTTAAATAATGGGACTCTGGAGCCTCCATTCCCACGTGACTTAAATAATGTCCTTAAAGTTTCAGGTGTGTTTTCTTATCTGAAGAATGAGGGTGATGACTAGTTAAGATCCTCAACAAGCTTTTGAAACCCTCCTGTGGAAGCTGCAATTGCATCTGTTCAACCATCACTGCTGATACATTTTAAAAGATGTATGAAACTTAGGCTGAGGACATGGCTTGATGAGAAACAGAAGAGCAAGGTAATTTTATTTATAAAAGAGATGAAATGGCATCTTGCAAGAGAAATCTCTTGATACTTATCTCTTTTGCACGAGAACTTTTTTTGTGAATGGAAGAGTAATGAAAGCAACTGTTTCTTGTCTTTATTACAGTTAACCTCTAGGGCCTCACTGTTACAGAATACAACTGAAAAATTCTTTTAATAAGACGAGGGGGAAAAAAAGGTTCGTGTGAAAACCTCTGCACCTGCATCAATTGTAATGAAAAGGGCAAACGTGATTTAGTTCAGCACTTCAGGCTGAAGATCACCTGCAGTTTAGAAGGACCCATGTTGCCTGTGCGGGGTGTATTTGGCCTGATGGATTGCACAAAGGGCTGGAAGGTTTTGACAAATTGGGGAAGTGGAGAGGAACTTGAGGGTGCCAGCCCCTCTAAGTGTCCCCATAGCCCCCTGGGGGGGGGGCTGTGGGGACACTTAGAGGGGCTGGCACCCTCTCCTTCCTGGAGAAGGTGACGGTGCTCAGCGCTCCTCGGGGTGGGCGCCGGGGTTGCTCAGCCACCGAAACTTTTCCCTCAGCCCCGCAGATCGCGGGGACCCGAGGCGTTTTTGGGCCGCCGCTCTGCTCATCCACCCGCCAGCGGCACGGAGCGGGGGCTGCTCCGCGGGTGCGGGGCCGGCTCGGGGCGGGCTCTGCGCTGCTTGGCCGCGGCGGCGGGGCCGGTGCGGGGCGGTGCGGGGCGGCGCCGGCGTTGCCCGGAGACGCTCGCAAGCCCCGCCGGAGGAGGGAGGGAGGGAAAGAGGGAGGGAGGGGGCTGCGGGAGGCGGCGGCGGCGGGGCCGCAGTCGGTGCGGTGCGGGCGGCGGGGCGCGCCCGGCTCGCAGCGCTCCGCTCCCTCCCGCAGGAAGCGGCCCGGGGCGGGGGCGGCCGCTCGCAGCCATGCCGGGCCCGGGGCGCTGAGCCGGCCCCGCCGCCTCTTCCCCCCCGCACCATGGAGGACGAGAGGTGGGTACCGCCGGCCTTTGTGCGCGCCCCGGCAGCGCCGCGGGGATGGGGATGCGCCGGGAAGGCACCGGGAATGGCACCTTCGGCGGGGTGGGGAGCGCTGCGCGGGACGCGGCCGGAGGGGATCCCCCCCCCCTCCCTCCCAGCCCTGCTTCCCGCTTGCAGGAATGCCGCCTGCGATGGGCGCCTGCCGAGCTGTTCGTGGATGTTGCAATGTCATGGTGACAGGCGGTGTCGCCCCGTGTGCCCGCAGCGAGGCAGCGGAGGGGTTTCCATGGGATGTGTTTCGGGTGTGAATTAAGGAGGTGAGGGAGGCAGGTCGCGGGTGTGTGTGTTTGCTAAAATGGAGGTGCCGGGCAGGGGGGTGGGATGCCGGGCAGGGGGGTGGGATGCCAGGCAGGAGGGTGAGCAGCCGCTCTGCCTCGCGAAACGCCGGGGTTGTGTGTGCGCTGCTCGTGGCTGGAACCTCGGGCAGCCGGCTTCGACATTCTGCCGAAGACAGACCCGCTGATATTTGCTGCTTTTCTGAGTCATGAATGAAAATCTGTAACGTCCGTGGAGCCTCTGGGGGTCGATTTTCCCACCTGCGTGTGTGGAAGCCGTGCCCTGCGGGTGTTAGTGCAGCGCAGGGGATCCCCCGTCTCCCTTGCACGGTAGCTGGGCCATATAGACTTTATTTCCTGCAAGGTAGCTATTCTGCTCCAAAAACTGCAGAAGTGTTTACAGAGTCGACCTAATGCCCACCGAACCCATAAAAGATGTTATTGCTGCGCAGGGACCTCAGGGATACAGAGAGATGTCCAGTGTTTCAGCTCTGCCCTTGTTCTTCCCCTCTGTCAGGTGCCTTTCGCACACCAGAAGCCTCTTGTGCTGCTTCAAACTAAACATTAAGCTGGTTTGGGGTTTTTTTTTTGCAATATTTTTTTAAAAACAGGATATGCTGAGTGTTTCCTTTTGTGCTGGTGACCTTGCAGTGAGTGGGGGAACAGTGAGGGGGCTTGACCTGCTGGTAGGACTGATAGTCAGGGCTTGATAGAAGTTTCGTTTAAATATGATACATTGAAAAATTAAGCTGGAATCAAGCCCCAAATTCTTGAAATTTTCCTTTTGTTGAGGCAAAACATTCACAGCAGCCTGTGGAAGGTGTTTTCCAAGCTCCAAGGGGCAGCTTTCTGCCCTTCTGTGACTCAAGTGATGCAACTGTTTGTGTATTTAATGTGCAAAACAAAACTTTCATCCTGCCACGTTTCTCTCTAAATTACATTGTAAGGCTTCTGCATCCTCTAGGGTTGTGGAGAGCCACCTCTGGATGTTAATCCAGATGTCAATTATTTCAAGTGCCTCGAAATCTTAGTTTATCATGCTTGATGCCAGCTCATGGAATGGGATTTCCTTTTTTTTTTCTTTATTTATCTGAGTGAGTCTGTGTTTGAGGAAGTGAAGCAGAGATGTTTTGATACCCCAGGCTGGGATCAATCCTTGGCATTGTTGCTTATTACCTTTTTTTGATGGTTACCAGCAATGGTGTCATTTTGACTGGAGGCCTTTTGCTGGGGATACAGTGGTGAAAAAGTCACTGGGAAAGTACCTGGATTATTTTGCCTTATCCTGTTTTTCCAGACCATCTGTTTTTAGGGCATGAAGGACTGTCTCCATCAGCACGTTCTCTGCCTCTGGAAGCGAGGAATGATTACCCGAATTGCTGCTTGTATTTCTAGTTTTTGGGAAGAGAGAGGTGGTCCTGAACTGCTTGCAGGCAGTAATGATGTGGGGTTTGACTCTTGGCAAGGAAAGCTGGAAATATTCACCTGCTTTGTGCTTGGAAAGGGCACATTGTGTGGGACTGTGCCGAGGCTGCTGTGCCTGCTTGGGGCAAGTCCTGGCAGGGGGTGTTCAAAAATGACCTCGGTGGGTGAGCACCCCGGGCTGGGTCTGTGCTCGTTCTTGTGCTTTTGCCCCTCATTTCCACTCAGATCTGTGTCAGGCAGATTAGTCCTCAGATTTTACACTCTGTGACTTTTGTGATGGCAGAATTCCCCCTGGTTTTTAATATTACTGCGTTTTCCATTTTTGTAGTCAGTGAGGAACACGTTGATGTTGCTCATATCACCTCTGACTCTGGTCTCTGGGCCTGCCAGGACTCAAATATCCTGTTAACTTGCACATCCCAGTTGTTCAGTGGTATCATGTGCCCATGTCATTGCACACAGGCAGAAACAGCCGGGGCAAGGGGGAATTAACCTGAAGTATTCACATTTGGCAGTAAAATATTTCAGAATCCTGGTTTTCTTTTGCTGTGCTGATAGGGATTTTAATTTTATGGAGAAATTGCGTAAGGCGATGGTCAGTCATGATACTTTGGTTCTGAATTTGCAAGATGTGTTTGAGTTTGAATAGAAAAAAACTCCCTGGAATGTTAATTTTTTTTTTTGGTAAAATATTAAAACACCTGTTTTTTTTTATATTTGAGTGGAGGTAGTGTGTTTGTGATATTTGCTTGAGAAACACAATATTTGCCTTTGAAAGCAAACGGTATTGTCATATTTGAGTTATTTTGTGTTGTTTCCATTACCGTCAGCAAAGACTTTTCTTCTCAGTAGTTCCCAAAGTCTGCTTTTCCCCTGAGGTCTCCTTTGATATGAATATCTCCTTTTGGGGATCTGCTCTATGCCAATTGTGTGTTTTTCTGAGCTAATGTCTCCATGTTGATGCAAGCACTAAAAAAATTCAACAAAATAGGAAAATAATATTGCTATTAAAAGAAAAATAATCCTTTCCATTATGGTGCCTCCCATATGTTTTAATGATAATGCATTTCTCTGAAATCCTCTCAAAAGCCTGCTCAGTATGTGGATTCCTTTAGTCACAATTTTTTTGCTGTCTTTGTATAGACCTAAAGACAGTTTCAGAAATTGAGATTTTTATAACTGTGCTGTTACACTGACTTATTTTTCTTACTGTGGCTTGAGGAATAAAACTGCGGGACATAATGTATTTGCGCCGTGATTTTGGCCATTGATTCCAAACAGAGAATAAGGCCAGTTAAGGTAAAATGATTTTTCCTTTTGCTAAGATTAAATTAATATTTTGGTCTCCATTTATCTTAGTAGAGGCATTTAAATTTTGAACCCTACTAACTGCTATTAGGCTTCTGTCACTTTTTTAGATCAAAGTGATGTCAAACCTCTCAGAAACTGGAGATTAACATTTTATGGCCATGATTGTAACATATACCACAAAGAAGCTCCATAGGCTTAGAAAATTTACAGTTAGCAGTCATTGTTAAGTTAATCTAAGGATATGAAGCCCCTGTGGAGATGGTGGATTGGCTGTGCTGTGGGAAGGGCAGGTTGAGTCTTCGGCTGAGCTTGCGGTGCTGAAGCTCCGTGGTGTTGGGGGACAACCAGGAGAGCAGAACTCAACCTGTGCTGCTGTGGCAGGAGGTTAGAGCAGCTCCCAGAGACCCCTCCAGTGATGCACAGTGGGATGAGGCTGGGCTGGACATGTCTGGAGTCCCATCACCTCTCCAGTGGGAGAGCCTGGTGGAGAAGGATCTCCGTGGTGCCCACATTGGGTTGGGAGCTGAGCCCGGTGGCTGTTCTCCCAGAAACACGTGCAGAAACTCGTCCTTCCCTGCTCTGAAGGAGAGTGCATTTGAGAGCTACCCTTCCTTCAGGGTGAACTCCTGGCTCCCATAAAGCCAGGGTTAGAATTGGATTTGGCAGAGCTGGGATTTTTGTTCCTGGGGTTTACCAGCTCTCTGCATGGCAGTAATCTTGCCAGGGGACAGTTTATCTCTGAGGAAGGCTTTTATTCTTTCACATAATCTACAAAGACATCTGTAATTACTGCTGGTAACTAAGGCAACCCAACTTTATAGTTGATATATGTAGGCAGCAGAACAGTGGGTTAGGGGTTTTTAAAATACCTTTCTGTCCGTCGGAATGTGGGAATGCTCAGGCAGGAGCTGGGCTGTGAGCCCTGGGAAGCCTGAGCCCAACCCTGCTAGGGGTCCTGGAGAGGAGGAACATGGTGTTGATGGGGTACTGATTAGCTTCCCTGGATTAATTGGGGACCCTCAAATCAGGGTTCATTTGTTCTGCTTGGGGACGTTGTTGAATGCCGTGCAGGAGGTGGCAGTGGGGTGGGCACTGTCTGGAACGAAGAGCCTCTGCTTATTTTAGGAGAATCCTGCTGTGTCCATAAAGAGGATGCTCGTCTGGCCCAGGGAAATTAAATCATTTGTCCATTCACTCAGTGCACGGCCTTGGATAGCCCAGGAATAGAACAAATTGCTCCTGGCAGCTGACTCGCGAGTCCTGCTGGTGTAGTAGGACATGAGCTTGGCAAACGTGAAGGTGCTGGGGGGGAAGTCCCCGTGGTCATGGGGTTCAGGGGCTCCAGCATGTCTGGGTGGTCTCATCTGATACCTTTGATCAGAGGACCCCATTCTTCCTTTGCTTCGATCCATTAAAATTACAACAGGTAATAATTCTTAGCCTTGTGGGGGAAAAAAAAAAATCTCAGAAAAGGGCTGTGCAATGTGCTGGTTTGTTCTTCTCAGGGGTAGCTTTTGCTTTGTGGCAGGTTGCATTTGCTTGGAGCGTTCAGATTCTTGCATTTTTGCGTTGGAAATGTGTCGGTGATCTCTGAGAGTGTGTGCAGGGAGGTGTAAAATCTCTCTCCCAGATAAAACCATCCTCTGTTCATCACTGGCACACAGTTCTGTGGAAGCTGAGTTCGTCTCAAAGATGAGTTAAAGGCTCCTGGCCATTAATTTTTCAAATCTGTTTTTTCATATGAGTCATTTGGAAAAAACTTTAAATAGCATATCTTGATCTTTTTTGAAGCAAGTTTTTAACCAGACAATCTGCAGTATTTTTCTGTGGTAAGCCTTTGGCAAATTGTGAAATCCACCCCTGTTAATAAAGCTCAGGATGTCTCTTTGGATGCTTATTAAAAAAATTACCTTTTTGCTGCTTTTTGGGAAGAACTGCTTGATCTTTTCCCAAAATTCTGAAGCAATTTTTTTGCTTTTAAAATACACAGCCAAATGTTGGTGGAGTTGAGGCTTTATGAAGCCTTGTTGATCTGACATTTACTTTGGTGTTCAGCGAAACTTGCTGTGTCCTTTGAACTGTCTCTTTTGCCAGCGGAAAAGTTTGAACATAAAGGATCTTTGGTCTCCAGCACTGGAGAGCTCATAAATAAATCTCGGTGGTGTGCTTGTTCTTGTTAAAGAACCCCTATGACTTCTGTGTGCATCACTTGATTTGGGATCCGTGAGGCGTGTCTGTGATGATGCCCAGAGCAGTGTCCTGCAATGTCCAGCTGTCCTGCTTGGGCTGTCTCTGATGCTGCCTTTTGGTTTCACTTTCTTTTTTTTTTTTTTTTTATTTTCCTTTCTTTTTTGTTTACTTTGTTTGCTTCCTGTACGTGCTCCGGCTTTGGAAACTGAAAGCTCAGTGAAGTCACTTGCACTTCCAGAGCCTCATTCTTCCCTCCTTGGCTCTGTCCTGCCGAAGGGGCAGGTTTAGCTGTTCAAAAACCAAGGGTTTCTGCTGGGGTGTTCAAAGCTGTGGTCAAACTTCAGTTGGCCTAAGGTTTCCACCAGGGCTTTTGATAGATACAACAGTGAGGCTTAGCTGAATTAGGCTGTGTCCCTGGAGCCAGGAGGCTTCCTCATTGGAGTGTGCAGGCTTGGGGAAGAGCCGAGTGCCAGTGCTGCTCCATGCCCGTGGACACCTCTGGCAGTATGTGCAGCACAGAATGAGTTCAGCTTTCTCCAGGGATAGAAGAGCTGGTTGTGTCACTGCCTGGCACCAGTCCCCTGAGTACTGAGCCTTTAACATGAGATATTCTCCTTCCTGATTTTTTTTCTTTTAATTCAACCATACTGAGCTAATTGGATGACAACTATAACGGAGTCTGGGAAGTTGTCTTCCTCCCTGGGACATGTGCTGAGTGATGTTGTGCTCAGCCTTGCGGCTTCACTTATGACTGAAAATATTTCACTTGCTCAGCAAAGTGAAAGAATTGGACTTGGCTGTTTTTTGGCATTAACCTTTTTCTCAGGCACAAAGCTGGAGGCTGCTCAGTATGCAGGGGTGTGTTTGAGCTGTGTGCAGCTTGGCTGCTGTTCAGCCTCTTGCTTTGAGAAGGACAGTGCAGCCCACCACAGACAGCTGGGGGGTGAAGAGCTCTGTGTGTCCTCAAGGGACACGGTGATGGTGACAGTCACCTGTCAGGAGCAGGCAGTGGGGAGGATGTAATGTTCAACAAGGGCCTCACACTGTCAAGGGGGTTGTAAATAGTGAACAATGTGTTTTTCAGAGGGAAAGTCATTGGGTATGAGTTTACATGTATATAGATAGATATGTGCATGCATGCACACCTTGGCAGAGGCCAGTGGGCTGTTCTGGGGAGGATCCTTCCACACTTCCCTGGCTGTGTGCCCTTCCTCAGACATCACCTCCTGGTCACCGGTAGAGCCAGGATGATGGGCTGCCCATACTGTTGGTTTATCATGATACAAGCCCAACTAAGAAAGGTGGCAGGGAGGAGGGGACAGAGGTGAAGCTGTCCTTTGGAAGGAAGCTCTGAGAAGGTCTCATGTCAGGCACATGGTGGTGATGGAGTTGCCTCCCAAAGTCTGCCATTCCCTTCGAGTTGGCTTTGACACGGACAGCCCTCCTTGACTTGTTTTATTTGCCTTTGCCTGCTGAGGGTTTGAGGGGTGAACCGTGGGCGTGAGCAGAGCAGGGACCTGCCTCAAAGTGCTGTTTCTATCCCAGGTGGAAACCTTTAGCTACGAGTGATTTGACGTGCTCGCAGATTGGGGAGGTGAAGATATCGACCCGCTGTCAATTCTGTGCAAAGAGCAAATGCTCCCAACAAAGTCATGAGGACACGTGTGTGCCTGAGGCACCTGTTGGCCTGGTTAAACACGGCACAGCACTGGGTGCTTCTGGGCTGACATTGGCTGCAGAGCTGGTGGTTCTGGTAGGAAGGTTTAATAATTCATTCCATATGTTTCAGTGGCAATAAATGGACCTATTTCTAAAATGGAAATGGGATGTGGCCTCAGCAAAGCTAATGCTTTGGAAGCTGGGCAGGGAGTTTTAATAGTCCTTTTCTGCTTGCCTCTATAGAAGATACAAGTCATGTATTGTGTGCTTGCCTTTTTCAGATGGGACACTGAAGGCTAAACTTCTCTTTCTCCGTATGGATGTTAAAAAATCCGTGGTACTCTTGTAGTTCCCAGTGCTGAAGTCTATTTCTATTCAGTGAGGCGATTATGTTCTGGCTTGAATTTCAACTTATACTGCTTTCCTGGCCTGAAGCCTGTTAGACTGGGCTTTGTCCTCGAGTGTTTGGCACTTTTTTCTTTTCTTCCCTGCTGACTGAAATGTAGGCTGAGTTGGCTTTCAACATCCATGCAGAAGTAGCTGCATTTTGTGATGCTCTTCGTGTAGTGAACCTGAGCTGACTAACAAACACGTGAATAACTCCATGCTTAATGCCCTGTGCTGCAGTTTTACGATGCTCATTTTAAAAAGTGCCACTGAATCAAACTTTCTACTCCTCTTTTTTTTTTTGTCCCCCTTTTTAGCATTAAGCAGAGCCCCCGTTCCTCCGAGGCAGCTGAAGATGAAAAGGAGCAGCGCACAGTGACAGTCAATCCCTCTCACATGAGAAAGGCTTTCAAGGTCATGAATGAATTACGAAGGTACACTTTTGACTTACTGGGCACCCTCTCTCGTTTAGCAGAATTGTGCTGATTGGGAGACTCAGAAAATAGGTTGTGCCATCTTTGTTACAGCTAATGGTTGCATGTAGAGGATTAATCAACAAGTGGGAAGCTAAAATATAGCCCTTTTGTGGTGGTTTGCTCTCCCAAGCCTCAGACCTCTGTCTTCCCAGCAGAAGGAGTCAGCTGTGGCTCAAAAATGTTATCTGAGCAATAGCCTTCACTTATAGATAAGAATTCATTTAGTCTTTTCCATTACTTACAGCAAATTCAGCTGTAAACTATGTTCTTAACTGAGATAATGGTCTGAAACCCAATGATAGAACATTATAGACATTAAGACACCTACGCATAATTACAGACCAAAGATTATTAATGCACTGTTCTTAGTCTCTTTAACTAGCAGCATCACTCAGTCTGGGCTTAGCACTCCAAAGTAAGGGGTGAAAAAAAAAAAGCAAGTGCTCAGGAAGAATGTCAGCTCTCTACTTGCAAATTGGAAAAAAGTTAAAAGAGAACACCTTGGTCTCTACAGAGCTGTGTGGGTACAGGGAGAAAGAATGGAGGCTGAAAAAACATCTGTGAACAGTCTTCAAGAACTGCTGTCTTCACATCAGCAATGTGGTGGTGGTGGTTCAACATGAGTTGTTCCTTCATTGCTGTTATCCTGAACCAAACAGAAGTTCAGCAAGCATTTTTCTGACTAGCTCATTGGAGTTCTTTACCATTCAAATACACTTGGAAACTAGATTTTTAAAAGAATTCCTATGGAAAGTATGAGTGCTATACACATGGATGTACGTGCTCCCTCGCTATCGAAATGGTGTGATGAGAGCAAGGAACACCCTTTACTCTTCAGGCACACTCAGAGTACTCAAAGATGCTTCAATAGCTACCTCTCCTCAGTGGATTAAGTACTTTCTGTAATATACACGTTCTCTGGTGTGGAGAATGATTGAAAACGTTTCCTTTCACAGATATCTGACAGTGATTCTCTGTTGCATAGGAACAGAAAATGGAAATATTGTAACAGTTACATGAAGCGGAGCATGCTGTAATTTTTTTCCTTTTTACTTTTAACTGGCATCCCTCTGGTCCTTTCTTTGTACTGAAAGCAAAGGATCTGAAAATAAAGGTTTGTGCAGCTATATTCAGAAATCTATTGTGCTCCTATTATTCCTTGTTAATTGAAGCATAGTGGGAATAACTGGAGATGGACAATGTTTCTTAGTGCCTGTGGTTAGCTAGATTTTGTGCAATACTGAAGTGACAAAATACAGAAGACTGAAAGCTGCCCTTAAGCACCTGTCTCATGTTTTCATCTTCTGAGTACTTGTTTTTCTGTCATCTCCTGCTGCTGTTTTGGAATATACAGGTTTCACATCTATTGTACGTGCATTGAGCTTGTGATCTGTTAAGCTGTCAACAATCAGTGTTAATAGGTACCTTGAATAATAGTGCCTCCCTTCACATGCATCCAGAAATATCATACAGAGGGTATAGAAAAATCTTGCTAAGCTTTTAACCTATTTGCAATATAGAACCATAGAACTGTTTAGGTTGGAAAAGACCTGTAAGACCACTGAGTCCAACTGTTAACCCAGCACGGCCACGTTCACCACTAAACCATGTCCCTAAGTGTCACTTAGGGTTTTAGCTTTCAAATATAGATGAAATTATTTTATGAGTGGTGCTTAAGATGGCTGTAGATGACTCCAAAGAGGAATTGAGCAGAGCGCCTTTTGCATAAGCTGAAGGATATGAGGAAGCTTCCATTAAGAGGCTCATAAAGAGCTCCCCTCATTGCCCTTACCCCTTCCAAACTGGGGTGAACATAGAGTACAGACTACCAGTTCCTACTTTCTTCCTGTTTTCCAACTTTAACCCTCTGTTTCACAGCTGTTTTGTTCACATACTAGGCATACCTAGTCCATTAGAAACTCTGTGTATGTTTATTTGATAATGAGGTTTCTTAAAGACGAAGTTCAGTGTGAAGATAAGCATTTCTGAAGAGAAGGCAACATCTAGATTTACAGACACTGATCCTTTTTCAGGCTTGGCATTTGAAAAGAACACCCCTAGTTTGCATTTGTATGCTTAAGCATCTTAAACCAACTTGTTGGGAGGCTGAGCACTTCTTGCTGTCGGCATCTGCAAAGCTCTGTGCAAACATTAACTAATGAATCCTCAAAGGACCAACGTGGGGCGAGTAGAAAAGGTCACTCCTTAATGAAGTGACTTTTCCAAAGCTGTACAATGAGTCAGTGGGGGAGCTTAGAAGGTGTTTTTTTTTTTTGTTTCTGTCTGGGACCCGGTTCTTTATTCCAGTGACTCTTAATCCCAGGCTAATTCCTGAGGTAAAGGAAGTCCTCATGCCCATGGATAAACTCCAGTGATTGACACCTCCTCTCTGGCAGATGGCAGAGGCAGCCTCTCTGCTCATCAATGCCAGGACATGTTTTGGTGGTCACATTCTTTAGGGCCAAGCATGGAAGGAAGTACCGAAATCACTGCATTTTCCACTCTACCCTTCCCCTGTGGAAAGACCAAAGTGCTGCTGGTGTTCCCTTCTCTTACAGATCTACTAGAGCCTGGCTCCAGGTAGTGCCCAAACTCTTAAGCTCTTCTGTGCCTTCTCCAAGCCCTACATGTTTGAGAGGTGGAAGGAGCCCCTTATCCTTTGTTCTTTGGGCAGTGTGTATGCCTAGTTTGACTTCCATTTTTTTTCCTGGGAAAAGCAGAACCACAGGCAGGGCTGCAGCATCAGTAGGATTCAGGCTTTGCTTTGTAGGCAAACAGTGATGGGAGCTGGTAGCTGAAGGATTAGAGGACCTTGCACTGGGATTTGGCAGAAGCTCAGGTGCCGTGTCTGTGGTGGTGGGTCTTCCACTTACTTTTTCAGGCTATACTGATGTAGCTTTTTGCCTGACCAGGAATTCTGAAATGACCTTTGTCTTTTCTGGTGTTTTTTCCAGCAAGAGGCTCCTCTGTGATGTGGTGATTGTGGCTGAGACCATGGAAATGGAAGCCCACCGCGTGGTCCTGGCAGCCTGCAGCCCCTATTTCTGTGCCATGTTTACAGGTACTCTTTTTGACACCACACACTGTTCTGGGGTTGAACAGGCCATTGCAATCCTGAGGTCTCAGGCTGTGTCTCTGTCAGGAGCTGCAGCACAGGCAGAGGGTTTCCTCAAGAGAGAAGTGATACAGATAGGTCTGCAGTTTGCTAAACTTCATGGATGATGCTGGTCATCCTTGACTAATTCCTTGAGGAATCTGTATGGGTGTGGGGTGCTTGTGTGGCTGTGGGGTGCATGGGTAGCACGTGGGCCACAGTAAGGTTTACTATGGGGTTTGGCTCACTTGATTTTTTGGTTATTTTTATTCCCCCTAACAAGACCGTGGGTCATGAAAACATTATTAACATCAAGCACGTGTGCAGTGCCCTAAATGTTCATGGTGCACATCAAAGAAGTAGCTGGCACAGGAGTTGTAGTTTCAAGGCTCAGCCCTGCTGATACTGATTTGGCAGTCACAGATGTTTAATCTCCCATGGCACTTTTTTTCTGCTGCCTGAAATAACACCGTTGTTCTCTCGCTCCCAGTGTGTTTTAGCAGCCCTGCTTTTTGGCAGGGTGTGTTGCTGCAGTCTGGTATGTTTTGGTAAGGGCAGAAGGGAAAAGGAGGACAAAATTCTTGCTCTGTTGGCCTGATCACTGTAGCAGGTGCCCTTTGAAGGCTGTGCCCAGGCAGGGCAGCAAAGAAAGCCAAAGAAAGCCATGCCAATACTGAGGCAGGAGAGTGACCAGCTTATTTAAGTCATTCTAGTAAAATTAGTCTGGTCAGGAACTCCTTAGCTTCCTTCCTTTTCCTTGCCCTCCTCTCCAGGGTAGGAACTGACTTAACCAAATACAAAGAAAATGATTTTTACACCCCAGGGAATGGGTGTTACTGTCCCTGAACTCCAACATAAATGAGCTACAGGGGTTTTGCCCCTGTTTCATGTTCATTTGCTTGTAGTCTAGGCCTTGCTTCTTCCTTTTAAAAGCCTTGGGATTAGACCTAGTTCAATTTGCTTTGCTGGAAGCAGAACACAGCATTTCTCAGGAAAGAGCTTGTCATTTGGGAAGCTTTTTTCCCTTCTGTGACGGAGGTGGAGGGAAAACCTCAGGTGTAAACAGATGTCTGAATGTGAGATGAGATGTGATGCTGTGGTGGCTTTATCAGTGTGGTGAGCTCAGGTGGGAGAGCATTTGTGTTTTTTAGGGCACTGCTGCTGCACCTGAAGTTGGTGTTGGCTGTGGTGGTGAGGCAGAGGAGCAAATGCTGCTCAGAAACAACTGTTTGTCAGGGCATCTCGAGCAGGACTTGGGAGGGCTTGTGATGCTCGTTCCTGGTGAGACATTTAGTAAAGGAAAACTTGGAAAAACCCTCTGATCCTTAGAGGTCATCTGAGCGGGAAGGTGGTGGTGCAGGGCTGCTCATGTTTCCATGCAGGAATTCTCTGGGCCGTGTAATCCCTCACACTGTGAGTTAAACAGTAATCAGCTAACCACGGTCATGTGGCTGCTCGGCAGCTCCCCTGGGCTGGGTGACAGCCTGGGCAGCCGCCTGTCCCCTCCCCCTGACACATCCCCGGGGGCAGAGGGTCAGCCAGAGACCAGTTCTCCCTTTGCTTTCAGTCTGGCTAGTCCCAAATTCCTAAGGTCTGGATCTCTCTCTTGCGAAGACTGAGTGCGTGATCTCCTTCCAGCTCTGTGGGGGTTCCCTCCCTGCAAAGGGACAGTTTAAAATCACAGCTCCAACATGAGTTGGTTGTTGTGACTTATTTTTTTTGCATTGCAGTTTTGCATCAGTGATGTAGCCAGTGGCTCGGGGACAGCCACACCATGGGGTGTTTGCAGGAGCTGCCTGTGCATGCTGAGTTCCCGCTGGAGGAGCAGCTTTCTGGGGCTGTGGGGGGCTGGAGGGATCCCCCAGCAGTGCCAGCAGCCATGCTGTGAGTGAGTGATCAGCAGGAAGCTGTGAACAGTGGAAACCAAACTGAGACCTGCTGCTCATCCACCTTTGCCTGCTGCTTGCTCTGCAGGCCCCGTCCCTGACAGCTGAGCCTGACTTTGGTGTCATGAATGACCTTGTGATGACCTTGGAGTCTTTCCTAAACCATCTTCTGTCCTCTGGTTAGGCATTCCTCTTTGAAACAGCCTTGGGACGGCTGAAAATGGGCAGGCACATCTTCCATTCCTATCTTCCACTGCTGAAGGGGAGATGAGACCCAGCACTTCCTGAGTGTCCCTTTTTGTACTGGCTTTCCGTAGCATTTTGGATGGTGTCTGGTCCTCATTGGCACCATTCTGTGGGGATAATTTGTGACAGTTATTTCTGTCCATTTAAAAGAATAGAGTCATTTTGAAAAGGGTAGCAAATATTTCAGTGATGCTGCTGGGGCTGCTACTGTGAGATACCTTTGGAATGTTGGAAATGCTGAAGGAGGAGGCAGGTCTCATGTGCCCTTCCTTGCAGGTCTCACGTGCTGCTTCAAGGCACTCACCCCATGTGTGAGAGGCTGTGGTTATGTTATATGATGCACTTGTATTCTCCTTCAGCACATCTGGGACTTAGGAGGCAGGCAAGGCTGTATCTGTGAAAGCACTGGGAAGCCTCTCTGGAGTGCAGTGTGTAGGAGGCAGGGCAGGCTGCAGTGCTGGGTAAACATGGCCCTGTGAGCTGCTACAGTTTTGAGAGTAGTTTATCTTGTGCCAGAGCAGAGCTCTGCCCTCTCCCTGCCCTCATGAGCAGAGGGGAACAGGGAAAGCACTGCTAGGTGTTGAGCATGATGCAGAAAAGGTGTGCCTTCACAAGGGGCCATTGTCTGCAAAGTCTGTCCTCACAAGAGGGTCTGCTTGGAGCCACTCCACCTGTTTTACCTGCCTTTGCTCCCCCATACCTTGTCCCTTGTGTCTGCCTGACTCTGCCCAGCCACAGAGGTGCAGGGACAGGTCTGTGCAGCACCCTGTGCAAGGCAGCCCTTTCTCACCACAGCCCTTAGGGATGAGAGATGATGGTAGTGCTCGGAGTTATTCTGTAACTGAGGTGTCAGGTAAGGCTTGAGCCTGACTTATGAGAGACATCCTGGGAGTTGGGGTTTGTGTGTTTTTTTTGCCTGAAGGGATGTGGGGTGAGATGCCTTCACTGACCCGCTGCTGGCTGCCCACAGCTGTGCCCCACAGGCTGCATTTGCCCTGGCTCTGTGCTGGCCTCCTCCTGGTCTACACCAACTCCTGCCTTGGTTCACTTGTGGTGTCTCCAGGTTCCTCCTCACTCCACAGCACTAGAGGCATGTCCACCCTCTGACAAGTGGGAGGAACTCCATCGCTCCAAGTTGGATCCCACTTGACTGTGGGGCCCAGCATGTGAGACTCCCCCCTCACGGTGCCTGGGCTGGCAGGAGCAGAGGCAGCGGAGGCTGTTGGTATGCAGGGCTGGCAGCTTGCTAGTGGGTGTGGAAGCCCACACAGCTTTTATTTTTGTTGCCTGTGTCACATGAACACCACAAGGACAGATGATGTTATCAGGTTGGTCCCTCCAAGCTATTTCTGCATCGATCCCTGGGTGTGCAAGGCTGAGCCTCCTCTCTGCACTGTGGGTCCCACAGGGCTCTGGCTGCTCTGCTCCTCCTCTCTGTGCAGGGGGGGCTTGGGGGGGGCTCCTTGCAGGCACCTCCAGCACCACAAGGCTGATGGGGACTGGCTTGTTCTCAGAGCCCCCTCTAATCTCTGGAGATGTCTGGGATGTTTTTGGGGGAGGAAGTGTGTGAAGATGACATTTTGTCAATTAAAAAGTCCTGCCTGCTTTGAAGGCCTCCCAAATGTAGGTCACTTATCCCTTTGTACTTGTACATTTATATTCATGGGCTTCTCTGAATAACACTTTATTATTTAATTTTAAAAATTGAATTTGGGACAAATATTATTTCACTTCTTGGGGCCTTTGACTCTTCTAACACTTATGGTCTCACCCCACTCCTGTTATTTACCCACTTATTGGCATAAATGAAGTCAGCAAAGTTCAATTTGCAGGATCCAGGTATTGCTCAAGCTTGGACCCCCCTTTAACATCTGACTCTGTGCACTTGATGTGCCCAGCCACGTCTTGTCAAACACTGCACAGAGGTGTAGGCTGTAATTACTTCTCCTATAGGCTGCAGGAAATATTTTCCCACTTAATCCCACAGCAGTACTGAGTCACCGGATTTCTGAGAGTGGTGATTATTCGTGCCCAGGTTTAAGAACTGACATTTTTTCATGCTCTCCTTTGTTTAACTTTGTTTTTCCACCCATCATTTTCTTTCCGCTCGGGGTTTTGCCCTTTCTTTTCTGTGGCCCCTCAAGATCTTGGTGATTAAACCCTGGGTGAGGTCATGGTGTGCGTGGATGCTGGAAGGGCCCTGGGGAGCCCTTTCTCCTCCCTCCCAGCATGATTTTGTTCCTCTGTCGTGCTCCTGTCACACAGGGGGCGTGGAGGTGGGTCATGAATAGGCTCTTACACGGACACGTGGTTTTACTTGTATATCCAGAGGGGAAATTATTCCCCTAGTTCTACCTGTTTTTAAATTACGGATTTGAAGGAAGGATAAAGTTTGGATCCGAAGGTGTGAGGCTGGGAAAGTGAGAGATGAGGAAATGCATGTTCCTGTGTGGATGCTTTACACAAGGTGTATCTGATGGATGGGTTACAGCAGGGTAATTGAGAGAAGCTGGCTGCACTCTGGGTGCTTGTTTTCCTGAGCAGGTTTCAGCTTCTTCCTAAAGAAAGAGGGTAACACTGCATTGCTTTTACTGTAGGGTATACCACAAAACACCCTAATGCAGCTGTTGCAGCATACTCATCTACCCATATGTATATATATTAAAAAAATTAAAAATACTTACAGTAAATATATAAAAAAGGTATTTCTAAGACTTGTCCACAATCTCTTTGAGTCTGTCCCTATACTGTTGAGGGACATACTGGTTTTTTGTTTTTGGTTTTTTTTTACCTCTATATTTATTTGAATGCAGGAGACCCACGGCAGGTTCTTTTCTGTCAAGAAATTAAGCTCGTTGCATTTATTGACTTATTTTTTTTTAAATTAGTGTCCTCAGTGTTGAGTTGGTTTTTTAGCTGGCATTAGGAGGCTTCTGGGAATCTCCCTGGTTGTTCTTCAATGGTCAGGGATAGTGCCAGGCAGTCCTGTAGTCAAACAGCAGGAGAATGTTCTGGGTGTGTGGGGAGCGAGGTTCTGCAGAGCAAACTGTAACTGTCCTTTTGAACTGAATTTCAGGAGACATGTCTGAAAGCAAGGCCAAGAAGATTGAGATAAAAGATGTCGATGGCCAGACCCTGAGGAAGCTGATTGATTACATCTACACCGCTGAGATTGAGGTCACGGAGGAGAATGTGCAGGTAGGTCTGGTCCAGCACTTCCCGTGGAGAACCGAGTGAAAAGCTTGAAACTCAAAGGCACAGGTCCTTTTGGGGGTGAGGGATCTCCTCAGGCTGCAGAAAGTAAAAGGTTGAGCTTGAAAAAAGCTACTTCCAGCCTCTGTTTAGTCTTGAGGCACTTTAGTGTTTTCCCTGCACTTAAGTCATGTTGCATTTAGCTTTTGTGTTGGGCTCTTATAACAAGAGCAGGCATTTGCCTTCCAAGAAGCTGTGCTGACTTGTGGGTCAGTCTGTCGAAGGTCAGAATAGACTCAAACAAGCAGTGAATTTTAAGGCCAGGGCAGGGGAATCTGGCTGTTAGTTTTTAAATTCTTCTGGGTAGTTTGAGTTGTTCGGCAGAGCTTTGAGTGGAATATATTGTTCAAATGAGGGCATTCTTCCTTTTTATTTTTGTGTGTGCACTCTATCTTGAATTTCTGTGAGGTCAATATTTGTCCAAGAGTGGAAAGAGTAATTGAAAGGCAGCCCAGAGATAAAGCAGGGTGCTCAGGAAGAGAGTGTTTCGCCGTGTCACGTGGCTGTGGCTGCTAGTCAAGCTCTTTCTTTGACTCTGCTTGTATTTGTGGTAAGAAAAAGGCTCTGCACTCAGGCACTGATTTCTGGAAGGGATGCTGGGAGCTCGTGTGTGGACGTGCTTTTCAGTGGGTCTCTGTTTTTGTTTGCAAGGGGCAGTTTGAGCCCCTTGTCCTCCTCTCTGTGACCTGGACATAGGTCAGGGTAACAAGTCTCTGTCCACGATGCTGGAGAGAAAGGGGCAGTGCTGCTGGGTGCATTCTGTTGACCTAATTAACATGGCAAAATTAGACTAGTTCTGCTTGAAATGAGGTTCTTGCTGTGAGCTCTTCTGCTCCAGTCCCTCAGGGACAGTGCAGCTTCTTGCTGACCAGTTGCTCCTGAAAAACCCTGGGCTGTGCCCACTTTGCAGTCTAAGCCCTTGCCATGCTTCGTGACCCAAGTCTGTGGGGGCCTTTTCTTGCCCCTTCTGCCCTCCACTTTTATAAACTTGACTTTCTGGTGTGCTCCCAACCCAGCAGTTGTCACACTGGCAGGAGTGTGGAGCCTGGTTGTCCTACAGGACCATCAGCGAGGAGACCTTCAAGGTACCACTGCAACAAAGGAGCTGAGACTCAAACCCAGCTGTGGGTGGCTTGTTCTGGCTGTCTGCTGTGTGACCCACACTTAAGGGCTCTGTATAGTCAGGGTCATCAGCAGCTGACATACAACATTACTCAGTGAGGAACTGGGGTGGAGCTCCTTGGACCTCTGGGATCTCCCACTGAGGAAGGAAAAACGACATTTACACGCTCTTGGGCTGGTCCCTTCTTCTGTGGGAAATATGAAGGCCAAATCCATGTGCTTTCTGAAATGTGTGCTTTCCTTCCATGCTGCTGGTTGTTGGGTGGCTCAGAAGCACCCACTCGGCACGTGGGACGTGTGGAGCTCGGGACACCATCTGGCCCCAGCCAGCCTGCCTTGAATGGAGCTTGGGAAGGGCCTGCTCTGGCTGCGTTCCCAGGGGAGTATTTTGGTGCTCCAGCTGCACCTGTGTGTAAGCAGGGCTGTGGGAGCTGGTGCAGGCTGGAGAGCTGGCTCTGTCCTGCTCTGCCTGGGCCTGCCCAGGAGGTCTGGGAAAAGTCCAGGTGTTCCCTTTTCCGAGCAGCTGGAAAGCTGTCTTTCTTAGTAAAACCTAACCAAAGCCTGCCTTCTGTGGCCTGGGGATTACAAGGAGTTAAAGTAAGCTCCCTGTCTGTATTTTGGCTTTCATCTCTTAGATAGCAAGAAAAAAAACATAAGTTTTGAATACTAAGGTTTGGGCATGGTGTTTTTTCCCAGTCTATTAAACCAGGTCCTTTTACTGCAGGATTTATTTCAATAACCACTCTGTGAATAACTCTTTAGGCTAGAGGTAAATTAATTCACAGAAGCTAAAAAATGAAGCTGTTCTACTGCAAGATTAACTCACTAGTTTAAATTTTATTATGTTTAAAATGTTAATGCTGAAAATGTTTTATGGAATTTATTATAATTTTGTGATGAAACCAACAGAAATAGATCCTGTCTCTGGGTGTTTTGCTCTGAACAAAAGGCTATAAACACGTTAATATTCACCTGTGGCCAAAAGAAGAAAAGTTTACAGAAATGAATATTCTGTGATTTGTTGGAAAGTTTCACATCAGTGAAGGCAAAAAACATGAACAACAAAAATTAAGCTCTTTGCAGTCTCTGGTTTGGATTAGCAGTGTCAAGCTTAGGAGGAAGGTTTGGTCCCTTGCATCACCACATCCTCCTGATGCACAGCTTTGGGTCCTTCATCCATCCATCCATCCATCCACCCAAGGACACCTCAGAAGTACCTGTGTTGTTTCAGCAATGTTCCTTCACAGCCTTGCTTGAGCACAGTGAGACTTTCTCTTTTCCCAGCAGGTATCTCCTGAGGTCTGTTATTGCCATGCCATGCACTCTGATTCTCTAGCAGGGCAAAGGTGCTTTTTTAAAGGAGTTTTTCAGACTTCCTGAGTAGGTGGAAGAAGCAATTTCTGGGTATAGGTGCCAGGTAATTTCATTGTAGAAACTAGCAAAAATAAAAAGATTGCTCAATGGCATTAACTGAGCAGATGCAGGCAAGCTACCAAAACTTGTGAATAAATGAAAAGACACGATCTTTTCAGTGAGCAAAATAAGATGAGAGCAGAATAGAAATGAGAAGAAGATGAGCAGCAAAGGTACCATGCAGTGCAGGAATGAATGCTCCCAAGCGTGCTCGAATGCTGAGCAGTGCCCAGCACTTCCCAACAAGAAGCCTTTTTACAGTATTTTTGTTACTTCTTTTCTAATAGAAACCTGTATTTTTTTTTTTTTTTGCTTTTATAGGCCTGGTATGAGTTCAGGAAGTGAGACTCCCTTTTTTCTAAGCTTGTATTTCTGTAGCTGATTGTACAATGAAATGACACAGTGCTTTTTGTTTTGTTTTTCGTGTGAGGAAGGATGTGTGTACAAGGGGCCAAGCCTTTACAGTCAGTTCCAGTCATCATCTATGTAGTGAGTTCCTGGGGGGGAAGTTCATCCAATTTCTCCTCAAGATTATGTCCCAAATGTGCAGGCAAAGGGGATTTTCAGCCCACCTAAGCTCTGTAAAGCAGAGCACTGAGCCCATGTGAAGGGAATACTCTCTTCTAACCCTGCTGGGGGCATGTAGGTGAGAACTGCCCCAGCAAATGCAATCCTGCTTTATCTACTGGACCTTCATTCTTACAGGGAGATTGCAAGGCAGTGTAGATGAAGCAGTAGGAGGGCTCAGGGATGATGGATGACAAAGAATCTTCTATGCTGAGCAGCATTTTACCTCTGAAAATGCATTTGGGATTTAACCTCCCACTTGTTTGGAAGGCATGGAGCAGAGAGAGAACTTCTGTCTTTATTGCAGTCATGTTATCTCAGCAAAACCCACGCTGGGATTTCTGTCCCCACTGCCTTCTGTTGTTCCTCTTCTGTTGCACCCCACATCAGGGTTGGTTGTAAAGATTCATATGCATGACATACAGATCTCATTCATTTGAAGGTGGAGTTTGATACATTTATTTAGAAGGAAGTTGTGTCATGCAGTTTCTGTAAAAGGAAGGAAAAGTAAAGTGATTGTCATGGGGAAGTTCATGGATGCTCACGTGCAGCCCTGGTTGACTTCCATGGAACACGTGTCAGAGCACAGGGCCTGCTGCTCCCCACCTGTGTGGAGTAGCTGGTGGTTTTAACACTGCAATTACTTGGGTTTTTCAGTTAGGTCTTGATTTTGCAGCTGAAGTGGCTGCACTGCTGCTTTCCAACCCTCATATCAAACCTGCCAGCTCCGAGTGATGGGAGCAAAGTCTGGCGATGGGGAAGCTGAGCGTGGTGTCCTCGAACAGAGCTGAATCATGAGGAGATTTGGGAGGAGGCTCCTCATTCTCTAAGGTGGTCCTGTGAACATACCTGGACCTCTGGTTCTAGGCAGTGAATACAGTCCCTCCTCAGTGTGTCCCAGCCATCCTTAATGAAGATGACACTTCATTACTTTCAGCAGCCTGAGAATTGCCCTCCCAATTAAGAAAGTCATTATCATTCAGGCTGTAATGATTCCCTGGAAAAAATCCTGATTAACCTGACTTCCCAATTAAACTTACGGACGCTGTGCAGTGTTACCACGTGAGGGGTGTCCTTGTGCACAGCCATAGTTTGAGACATGGATTGTGCAGAAAGAATGAAACCTGAAATTAGCTGTCTGGAGGAAGTAGATATTGAAACTGTCAGCTCTGCAGGCACAGTAATTGTCATACAAAATTACTTGAGAAAAGAGGAAAAAAGCTTTGCCAGGAGCTGTACTATTTCCATTTCAGAAGTGTGCTCCTGCACCTCAGCTCTCCCTACAGACTTAGGACTTCACAGCAAGGAAGGAGAGTTGTGTGGCAGATGCAGTTTTCATGATTAAGGGGTGATAAGTGGGTCAGTTCATCACCCTTCCCCCTCTTCACTCCAAAAGCTGGAATTGTAGCTGGTGCAAGCCCAGGGTGAGGCAGAGCTCCTTTCAGCAATAAATCAGGGCTATCTTCCTCCCTGCAACCAAAGCTCCTTGCCATGGATTGCCTTGGAGTGCTGGGGGTCCTGGTCCATGGCAAGGTTGACTCCTGGGTAGGGGGACCTTCCTTAGACCTATGGAAAATCTTATAAGTTGGCTTGGCCTAATACAGAGGTGAGGAGAAACTTGTGGATGTGGTACCAGAGGACTATGCTGGGCCTGATGGAAGTGTCTCTACATTTTTATTCCGCTGTTTAATCAAGGAACGGTGTGTCTGAAGTTGGAGAATGTAGATCAGGAGGGAAGTTGCCAGCAACTCCCCTGTTTTCTCTCTCATCTCTATATCCCATGTCCTTCTCATGCCTGCTTCCGGCATTCCTGCTCCTGGTGAGGCTTTGTGGCTCCCTGATCCTGTCACACTTGCCTCTGCCTGGGCCATTTCACCCCAGGTGGAGCATTTAAGTGGAAGCTCTGTTGTTCACCCCGTGTGCTGCCTGGGAGCAGCTGGGGAGTAATAAAGCCTAATTGCCATCCTTGCACTCGAAAGCCACATTACACTAATGTAGTTTTATCTCCACTACTTGTGCAGTTTGGAGCAGTTCATTTAAAACTGTGTGCTTTACCTGCCGTGCAAACACAAAATCCATTTATTTCTCTGGTCACGGGTTCCCCTGGGAGGGTGCTTGGGAGCTGTCTCCCTGTTTGGGCAGATGTGCAGTCCCAGCTGTGTCCCTGGATGTGCAGCTGAGGATTACAGCCAGTACTCTTGTTTGGCTTCTAATTTGACTGAATTGTCAAAGCTGCTTATGAGCTTTAATACATCCCCTGCCCTGGGAAAATGCTCCTTTCCCAGTTTTGCAGAGCAGGAATGGACTAAATTAACTTTTGGCCACAGGTACTTGGAAGGCTGTGTCACGCTAGGGAATCAACCCCAGTCTCTGCAGTCCAGCATTAATGAATAAACCTTAGAGTGACACAGAGCACTTTTGGCTGAAAGATGTTTCTAGTTTAGAGACATCAAAGGTCTGTGGAAGTAATTGCACAGGCAATGTTGTGTTAAACTTGAAATTGGTACGAGTCTGCAGAGGACAGCTGGTGATCTAGATGGTTATGGTTATATCTATATATATATATACACACTCCCCATAGATGAGATAAATTATTTAGCAAAGCAGCCAGTCTCAGTAGTAATAGCAGATAATTTTGACATAGTTTCAAGAAATGAGTGGGTTTTGATATGGAGGCAGATCTGGTACAGAAGCCAGCTCTCTGTAAATCTTTCACGGCTGTTGGAGTTCAAATACTGAGAGTCAGATCCAGACCCAAGTGAGTAACTTGCCTGGATGTTAATGGGGTTGCAGTTTGGTCCTGCTGCATGTTTAGGCAGGGCATTTCCTCTTGTTATTTCTAAAGGAAACAGACTTTGTTCTCCCGGAAATCCTTTGCTTGCTTTTCGCCTTCCCTGGTAAAAACAAGATGAGTGTCGAGACGCTCAGCTGGGAAATGGGAAAGAGAAAATCCACTCATCTTTTGATAGGCTTTTTATATCCTACTTCTGAGAAGTATTATATGGTAATGCCCCTTTCCCAAAGGCTTCAGTGGTGTAAGGGTCCTTCTGCACTGCCCTCTGAAGCCAGCACAGGGCTGTAATAGTAGTACTGGTACGTCCAGGGGCTGTCACATGTGGTGTTAGTGATGGCAGTGAGCACCTTCTGGTTTAGAGGCAATATCCCAAACACTGGAGGTAGGCAGCCCCCTGGATTGGCAGGTGGACATGCTGGATGGATGGGGGTGCACAGAAGAAGCTCTGTATGGTCTGTGCCCAGAGAGTTTTTGCAGGGAGTCTGGCTCCTCTACCCAAAACCCTTATGCAGCTCAGGTGCTCACCTCTTGTTCAGCTAATCAGAAAGTGGTCCACATCTAGGTTTCAAAAACCTAGAATATTGCTATCTTGATTTAATCAAACCCCCAAACTAGTCTCCTCCTGGCATGAAGAGACTTGGGCCAAAGAAGACTCCCGGGTTAATTGATTTCTCTTTTTATTGTTGCCTGTTGGCGGTGGATGCTTGGCTGCTGTTCAGCTGGGATGGAGCTGGAATGCATCTGTGGCTTAGAAAGACCTGGGGCAGGTTGTGAGTGTCCTGCCCTGATGTGGAATGGGACTGTGGTGGCAGGGACAGGGAGGGGACATCTTTATCCCTTCCGTGCCATCGAGATCCAGGGAGGTGAACGCTGTTAACCCACTTGTTTTGTTTAACAGCTGCTTGGGTTTTTTTGAGTTGGAAGTAATTTCCAGGAAATGTGTGCTCAGATGGTGAGCACAGATGCCCAGTTGGAAGGACATGTGTGAAGCAGCCAGAGCTATGAAGGGTCTGGGATAAGACACGTCTGCAGTTGCTGTTCGACATAAGAAAGGAAGTAGCTGATGTCACGGGCTGTAATGTCCCGATTGACTTTGTTTTCTACTTCCTGTCCTTCTTACTGGCCTCAAAGGTGTTTTTTTCCAGCAGATGTCACATTCCTGATCCACTTCCATCTCTATTTTCTGCACTTAGTTTTGGAGGGACAAAGCAGTACCTTATTTTCAGAACAAACCACAAGTGTCCACAGCATTTTGTGTGAGTGGAAATGAGGGCTGTTAATTTGAGTAGTTGGCCCCATCTTTCCTGGGAGCCTTGCTGTCACTAAAACCTGCTTGAGCTTCTGGGAACTTCCTCTCTTACACAACCATTTGGGCACCCTGCTCAGAGGCCAATTGGTTTTGTTGGAAATAAGAAAGTTCAGGGTTTTGAGGAGTGCTGGGCTGCTATGGGCTTTGAATCTGATGGCAATGCTTATAAATAGTATAAAGCTCTTCAGGGGAAAAAACAATAAATCTGTGGTGCAGGACCTACCTGCAGCAAAGCCAGAAGTGCAGGTGCACCCGTGGTTGCTTGTGTCTTGTCCTCCCTTTACCTGCCTCGAGGTCTTGTGGGGAGAAGATGTGAGGAGAAGAGCTCCACTTTTAGCCCAGCATGGGATAGCTATTTCCATTTCTCAGAGCGTGAATGGAGATCTTCTGCATATGGATAGAGCCAAGCCTTTAACCTTCCTTCTCGTCCCCCACAGGGACCCTGAAGGGGAATTGCATCCAATTTGCGCAAGCTGTGCATCAAACACTCTTTGTCGCTCGCTCTAATTCCCCTTTCTTGCCTTTGCAGGTTTTGTTGCCAGCTGCTAGTTTATTGCAGCTGATGGATGTTAGGAAAAACTGCTGTGACTTCCTTCAATCCCAGCTGCATCCCACGAACTGCCTCGGCATCCGAGCCTTTGCCGACGTGCACGCCTGCTCCGAGCTGCTGCAGCAGGCCAACGCCTATGCAGGTGAGGGAGGGGAGCCCTTCTCTGGGGTCAGACCTGCTCCCAGGGGCAGCAACTTGTATAGTCTGAGCGAGATCTGCACGTCCTGGTTGGTCACTTCATACTTCTGGTGTTAGAACGGGGAAGGGAATACTTTTATTGGGTTCTAGGCCGGTAACTTTCCGTCACGCCGCGAGTTGTGAAATGTGGTTTGGTCGCAGGGGAGCTCCTTGTGAGGTAAAACCCCCTGATCCTGTGGATCTCAGCCCACAGAGTAGCTCCTGAGTGTGATCCCAGCAAGCTCTTTGTGTGCCTGTTCAACAGCTTGGTGTTGGCACGCTGGTGTCCTCCCCATGGACCCTGCCCTGAGGGAGCAGTAGGCAATGCTGGGGATTTCCATTCTAGGAATAAATGGAACTAGGCAAAATTAAATCTCGTGAGTGGGAGTGGGAACACTCTGCTAAAACTGCCAGGCAGTCTGAGGCTCCGATCTGTGCAGCAATGGGCACTTACCCCCAGGGTGGATAGGCTCATGTTTCCTGGAGAGTGGATGTGTTTGGTTGCAGTGAGCAGGTGCAGGCAAAGGCTCCCAGCATTTCTCCTCTACATTGTAAATGTAAAGCTGTTTCAGGCAGCCCCAAGCCCTGAACTCCCCAGTACTTTCCAGTCTCCTCTGGCAGAGCTGCCCTTGACCTCTGCTCGGGAGAAGCTGGTGGTTTTCTCTACTCAGTTTGTTTTGCTGCTTTTCTGGTGATTTGTATGGGGATAAATACACCTGCTGTCTCCCAGGGCACCTGCTCTGTCCTGCAAAATTTTCCTTGTCAATGGTTTTGTCCTTAATTGGACCATAAGTAGGCTCAGTGGAATAAAAATGTGCCCACCGAGTCCTCCCCTATTCTCCTGCAAATAAAAGTAAAACCTTTTCAGCTGCTCTGGCTGTATTATCCCCTGGAGGAAAAGGTACCCTGGAAGGAATGGTTAATTGTATAAAAGCTTGCTTGTAATATCTCATTATCCTTGCTTCCAGGCCCTGTTTAATCTTTAACCCAACAAGCAGTGCATTCACTGTATATTTATTTGGTTGTTTGGCAATTAGAAAGTCTGCTTTGTTGTTTTATTGGCCTTCATAAGTCCCAGTTAGTACAGCAGTCCATGTAATGTTAATGGAACTCCATTAATAAAAATGCCATTAAAATTCTTTTCACTATGTTGTTTATGTAACAGCCTTAAAGCAAGACAGAAGGTCCCCAAACTCAAGACTCCATGTCTGCACGAGCTCAGTTACTTGAGAAATGCTTAGTTCTGGCCAGTGGATCCCTTCAGTAGATGGAGGAGCCTTCTTGATGCAGGCACCAGTTACTTTATTAAAATCAGTAAATATTCTTACTTGCTTGCAACTAACAACAAGAGATCAAATATATTTCTACTGCCAGATGCAAGTCCAGAATGAATGACTATGAGATTATGTCCAGAAGTCAGAGTGCATCCAGCTGACTGTGTGGGGTGTGTTTCCTGCCTCTCGAGTATTTAAGGCCAGAAGAGTTCATTAGATGTTATATATACTTCCAGCATAACAGAGTATTAAACTTTATCCACATACCATTTTTCCATATTATTTCTCCACTATTTTTAGTCAGAGGCTTTGGCTTAGCTGTGGGGTTTTGGTCCCCATTACACCAAGTAGGATCCGTGACTGGGGAAGTCCAAGTCCAGAGTCCAGCTCTGCAGCACCAGCTTTGGTGAGGGGTCATTCAGGTGCCATCTCCAAAGAGCTCCTCTCTAGAAGATATGCCAGCTCATGTCCCTGTGGTGCTGCTTTTTGACAGGCAAAGCACTTTGCAGATGTGAGAACTCGAGGCAGATCTTGCTGCGGAGGGAGATTTTTGGATACGTGAGTCTGAACTTCGCAAAGCTGCAGGATTAGACCTTGAAAAAAGCTGCTGCAGATAAAGTGTCTGAGCTTCATGTTTCTGTATTTCAGCCAAAGCTAAATGGGACTTAGAAATGGCAGGTGAGATTAAATTGGCAGTATATGTAAGAAATGCTTGCAAAACTAAAATTGCCTGCAACTGGCTAATGACACAGTTGACCTAGAAATTATTTTTTAGGAAGTAATTCTTTCCTGTGCCTTTTGGCTCGATGTAAAGCTTGACAGATTTGATGATCCTCAGTCATAATTCTTCCAGTTTGGGATTATAATCAGTGACATGCATTTTGTTTTCAAGTGGCTCCCAGAGTTACAGCATGGAGGGATCTGGAGGCAGAAAAGGGAGAAAGAGGAACTTGTAGAATTGTGGGCTGAAGTGGAAAGGGGAAAAGCTGCTGGGGAAGGTGGGTCCTGGGGGGTTGGAGCAAGAGAAAGGGTACATTTACACATTTGGGGGAAAGAAGTAAAAGGTGGAAGGAGAGGAGAGCTGATCCCATGGGAGTGCATGGGATGAAGATGTCCCTTGCCCATCTCTCCATGTAGCCCTTGGACACACAGATTCAGCTCCATGCCCTGGGATTCCTCAGTATTGGCTGCTGACCATATGCCCCAAACTGATTCATGTTAAAGGTGGGCTTCCTTGGAATATGTGCAAATACCCAAGACCCTTGTGGAGTCTCTCATCCAGGTGCTGAGCAGATCTGATGCTGTCTAGCTTGTTGAAGTGGGCAAGAACTGAATCTCGAGGTGGCCAGATAATTTACTGCCTTAGAAAGGCACTCACACTTGTCTCAGTTGCCACTTCTAATCTTCTTTGCCACTGGAAGACTCTTAGTGGCTTTTCAGAAACTTTGGTGTCATTTATGAAATTGTCTCCTGGGGCTCATGCTACTTGAAATAACATGGGATTTCTCTCTGCAGCTCTCTCTCTGGTTTCTGTCTGTGTTCCACCACGCAGCCACAGTGGGTTTGTCTCGGGTGCCCAGAGCTGTAATAAGAGTAGTTCTCTGAATGCTGTAGTCCTTCCATTGACTGAAAACACGGATTTCATTATAATTCTCTGTTCCCTCTTTTCATTTGTTGAACAGAGCAGCACTTCCCTGAGGTGATGCTAGGAGAAGAATTTCTTAGCCTTAGTCTGGACCAGGTTTGCAGTTTAATATCAAGTGACAAGCTCACAGTCTCCTCTGAAGAAAAGGTACTGTAAATTGGATAGCAAGAGTGAATGTAAGAATGCTGGAATGTTTCTAGATCTTACACCAGGAATGTTCTCATTATATGCTCTTTAGGGGCCATTCTGCAACAGAGATCATGTGGGAAGGAAAATTAAAATAATGCAGTTCCTAGAAACACATAAAAATGACCTTCACTTGGTTGTTCTTTGAAGGAAGTAATGATTCTGAGATCTATATCACTTCTAAAGGCCCTGGGGGTCAGAACAAAATACCTTCCCTCCCTGGAAAACTAGAAAACTCCCATATGCTGTTGTGTAAAGCACTCATTACCTGCTGCAAAACCTCAGAGAAGGTGAATTTCATTAAGCCAGAGAGGAGTATTGGCTTCTGTTGCATGTTGGGTGGAACAACAAAAGGAGATCTGCAACTAGAAGGAAGGAAGAAAACATTTTCTAACATCATCAATGTTTTTAATGGAAGAGGGGAGAAAAAGGCACTGGTTGATACTGTTTTGTGGTTGAAATGTTCAGCACATCTTGTATAATCTGGAGTCCTGAGGAGGAGGGTGACTAAAGGTTTTAGTGCTTGGTGAGCTCCAGATCCAGCCTTTCTCTGCTGTGAGCTTCTTGTATGACCTGCTGCAGGTTTCTGGGGACAGGTACGTGCCTTGAGTCCTTCAGCTCACCCCAGAATTGTCACTGTGGAGAGGTTGTAGAACCACAGAGTCATTAAGGTTGGAAAAGGCCTTTAAGACTGTTGAGTCCAACCACTAACCCAGCACTGCCAGGTCCACCACTAAACCATGTCCTTAGATGTAAATGGTCACTTGTGGGAGACCACAGGAGAGCTTGAGGATGATGTGGTTTGTAACTTCAGGACCCTTGTTCGGGTGGGACGAGGCTGGACCTGGGCGTGTTGGTGCTGCTGCTCGGGCTGCACATCCAGGCATGTGCTCTCCTCCTGCTGAGCCCCCCTGGGCTGCAAACACACGGGTGCTGGGGCACACAGGGGTGGTAAAACTTCCCAGAAAACCTGCACCACGTGAGGTGGGGACACAGGGATGCTCGGTTCAGATGCTGAGCCTGCAAACTCAGAGGCTCCATGGGGTGCTCAGAGGTGACACACAGGCAGGGCCAGAGAGGGCAAAAACCAACGGCACCAACTCACAGCAGAAAGGCTCTGCATGAGCCCAGCAGCCTGCAAAGGGAAGTGCAAGTTTAGTAACCAATTTTTTCCAGTCCTGTGCAGCATTGTTAAAAAGCTTTTATTGGCCTTGTGCCCAGAGGAATCAAAGTGCTCCCTCCCTCATCTGAGCTTTGTACAATCAAACCCAGTATTTCTTTGGCTGATTGTAAAAGTTGAGGATGCAGGGCAGTGGAAGGAAACGTAAGCATGAGCTGTAGGTTCAAAACAACAGATCTGAATAACAGGAGAGAGGCATAAAATGGGAATGGAACATAAACATGAAATGTTCTGGGGTCCAAAGAAGTGCTGGAAATTGAGGACAGGCTCGTAGGCTGCTGTTCCTTGTTAACTGTATGACAGACAAGCCATTTTCCTCACCTATATTCCTCCTATTTGCTAATGCTTGAGATATATATTATTAAAAAAATACATAAAAGTATATGCAAGTGTGTGTGTATAACAGTCTGTACGTACACATATGTATCTATGTGCACAGGTGATGGAGAGAGAACTACTTGGAAGCAATAAGGTGTTTTTTAAGTAGACAAATAGTTCAAACATCTGAGAGCTGAATTGTCACGGCCAGATTTCACAAGAGGTTTTCCTGTTCCTGTTCTCACTGTGACTCTTACATGGACTGCAACCTGGCATCCAGAGTGTTGCCATCCCTGGGTCACTGGGAAGTGTTAGAGCTGAGTCCTGCCAGGACCAGGGAAGGAGTGTTGCCCCTGGAATGCCCCAGGGCATGTGTGCTGTGCCCAGGACCTTGTGTGCTCTCCTCTTCCTCTGCCACCCCCCAGCTAATACCAGTTGGCCTAATAAAATATATTTTTGTCTCCACAAATTTGGCTTACTTGTACCCCTAGGCCATCAGGACTACAAAAATTGTCTGCTAGCACAGAAATCTATTTTAACTGCAACATGGTGACAGAATTTCCCCGCCATTCAAAGATTCTCCTCTTTCCTTTCCTCTTCCTCTTGTATCAGCCTCTGCACTTGTACAGGCCTTTTCAGCACAGGGCAAAGGTTTATTTTGGTCCCTGCCTGCTCTTTTTGATATAGCTGAGTACTTGGAAGACAGTTTTATTAATGTTTTCTAATTGGCTCTTTAATTATGACACTGTTTGCAAGCTAAAAAATCCCTGTAAAAATCACGTTTATTTGCATTTACTAAAGATGTGTGAAATGGAGGGGCTTTCAGGCCTTGAGAATTGGCTCCTGCCAGCTCACAGCAGTGGCTAAAGAAATTTTTAAAAGGGTTGGGATTTTTGGATTGTGGATTCTACACAGAGTGCAGTAACTGACTCTTTGTCTCAGTCGCTGACATGCAGCAAAAGCTGATGCATGGTCTGACTCCTGGGAGTCTCTAATAACTGAAGAGACTGGGCTGAAGAGACTGGGAAAACATCTGGGCTGGCTCTTTCCACAGGTGGTGTGAGGAGAGGGGATATTCCAGGCTTTTACTCTTCTGTTCCATAGAGTTGGAATTTTACTTCTCCCAGGTTTGGTACGGCTCCTACAGCCAGGCAGGTGCCAGCTGCTACCTCAGCTGCAAATCCAGCTGTGTGGGTAAAACTGTTTTGGTCCATCCCACCTGGCAGCACGATCCTGGCTCCTGGGGGAGCAGCAGCAGCAGCAGCTGCTTGGGGTCTGCAGCGGGCACAGCACGTGCAGGGAGGGCACAGCAGTGGTGGAAACAGATGTGGCCTTTAAATAGAGATATTGCTGTCTTGGATTAAGTTTTTTTTCCCCCTTTCTCATAAAGTTAGGAGTCAGAACCAACGGAAGGTGCCAGAATCTGATTTTTTTTTTTTAATGCTGTTATTTTTAGAGTAGGCACAGCAGGGAAGCATCGGTGTTTGCCTAACTCAGGAATGGTCTCCAGTTTATTCCTGGTGACATTTGCCTCACCTTCCTTTAGACTTGTTCAGTGTCATCTTGTCCAGATGGGCTGTCCCAGCCCTGTGACCTGTCCTGTAGCTCAGCCTTAGTGCAGAAAAGGTTAATGAAAAGCCTGTTTGTCGGCTAAACATTTGCTTTATCCTCCTTCCACAGTCATTTGCAATTAAAAAGATCTCACAACAACCCAGTTTCTACTTTAAAGGCCTCATAGTTGAAGTTAAATTGTTTGTTTGCTTATTTATTTTAATTTTAAAATGCTTAAAGGCTCTGCAGTAGTTATTCTCCTCAGCATTTGCTGGGGTTTGATTACACGGCTCCCTGTTGTGTTGCTTAAATCCTCATCGAAGTGTCCTGAATTCCAAACAGTTCAGCAGGAGCTTTGTTGGCACAGGAAATGAGGCCGGTTCTTTACTGCTCTTTCAAAGTATATAGTTTAGCCCAAGAGGAAGAAACCCCTTTCTGCTCTGCCTCTTCTTCGTGGGGAAGATGTGTCTGCCAGGACCTCCTGTTTGCCAGCAACAGTAGGGGGCTGAGAGATGGTGCCCTCAGTTCTGGTTGATTTAGTCAAATTAGTGACCTTGGACCAAACAAAATGGTTTCTTGGGAAGTGGTGGGAGGGATGGAAAGAAAGAAAAAAATTATCTGTGCAAATTGGCCTGACCAGTTGGTGACCCCGGAGGGAAGCTGAAACCAAGGGCATTTGCCCAGTGTGCTGGGACGAAGGGCCAGTGATGCTTTCTTTGGGGAAAAAAGATAGGGTCTGTGGGAAAGGGCTCTGCTCAGCCCCCTGGGCAGCGAGAGCACTTGGGGAATGTTGTCTGTAGATCTGAGTTACGGATCAGAATTCAGAATTTAATTCTGCCTCTGTGGGGAAACTCCACTGCAGTGATCCAGATCCTGCTGTGCGGCATCTGAGACTGCACCAGCCCCTCTCCCTGCCTTGCTGGGTTGTTCAGAGAGCCTTCCCCACTCCCGATGACATTTTTAGGCCTTTATTCTGCGAGTGAGGCTCACAGTTATATAAGCACATGCATATTCATACCAGAGCCCACATAGGACGCTTCTGCCTGTGTGTTGCAGGGCTCTGCTGGCGCCTGCCCATGGGCTGTTTGTGAGCACTTGGTCACGGAGCCCAGGTCTGGATGCTTATCTGAACCAGCTGGATCTGGAAGTACAACTAGAATTTGGTTCAGACCAGAAGCCCAGTGTGCTCTTGTTTTCCAGCTGGAGCATCTGAGTATTTTTAGCAGCGAAGTGCACACGGTGCAGAGCTTCCGTGGCTGCAGGCAGGGCTTGTCCTGGGTGTGTGGGGAACTTGTCCTCAAGACTTCTTGGTTTCTGGGGTGGAACTGGTGCAGTGATTAAATACGAGTGTAGTGACTTACTGCGTGGCCAGGCTCCTTGGGGAGGGAGATCTCTGTTATCAGGAGTAATTGTTGTGGCTGATTTCATGAATAATGTCCAGTGCAAATGTCAGCAGGCTCATTAAGTTTCCCGGCTGCCTTCCGATCCTAATGTCCAAGGGGTATATGATTGTCCTGGACATGCACTTAGCTTTGGGAGTGATACAGCACATCTAGATGGGAAGTTGCTTGTTAATATGCATGGTCAGCTCAGCTCTTTGCTACGGTGGTGCTTGTGCTCTGTGCCTAGTCACGACTCTTTCATCTGTTTTTGATAGAGATTTTGCACCTCCATCCTTCCATGCTGTAAAATCACAGTGCTTCTGATTTTGGGTAGGTGACTGTGCAAGCCAGTTCTCTCTTCCCCATTTAATTGTACTTTATCTGTGTAGGTGTTTGAAGCAGTTATCTCTTGGATAAACTATGAGAAGGAATCTCGCTTGGAGCACATGGCTAAACTGATGGAGCATGTTCGCCTGCCCCTTTTGCCCAGAGATTACCTGGTACAGGTTAGTCTGCAAATAAGTCCTCAGTAATTGCACTTAAGCTGCTGGTAGCTCCTTAATCAATGGCTTGGCTGTTTGTGTCTGAGATGGGTAATTTGGTGTGTTGCTAAGTCTGTAAACAGAGGAATAAAAGCAAAAACTGAGTGGACTCTGAAATCAATGCTCTCGGTCAGAAACCTTCTTGTAAATGCTTCTGGGGGAGGCATTGAGCGGTTACTACCTTGTGATTTTTCACCCCAAAAATACCCAGGTGGTGGTATTACAGGCTTGTGTAGGGTTTTTTTTTTTCCCCCTCATGCACAGGTAAATTTAACTTTACGTGTGATAATTTTGGCTGAAGATGTGTTCTGCACAAAGATATGGGTCTGTGTGACTGGCAGGTGAGGTGCTCTCTGACTTAGTCAGACTTGGAGATTGTTCTTCCTAAATTAATTCCTGGGATCTGGGCCTTGATAATGAGCTGAGAATCCTCAAAGAAGGCGTTGGCATGTGGGCTCTTTGACTACTATGCTTTTATCATGTGTCTAAAAAAATCAATACAATTGGCATAAAATTGGCATTCACAAGATGAACCCATCATATTTTTTTTTTCCTCTCAGCTGTATCTTCTGATGGAATAAAAAATGCTCCACCTCCTTAAAAAGTCTGACTCAGATAAAAGAAATTACTTATTTTGTGCTCAGACTCCTGGTGAATTCTCCTCTGCTGAGTTAAGTGTCTGGCAGAGGGTGATAAAAAGCTCACTCTTTGTTAGTGGTCTTGGAAAACAGGGAGAAGCTTGGATGTTTTTCTTTGGGAAGAGCTGTCAGTCTATGTTTGTCTTCTGCATTTTTTTTTAAAATGTAGATACTTTGGAAGGGAAGTTCCAGGTTTCATGTCCTTTCCACAAAGCTCCTTGTGACCTGTGCCACCAAGTACTGGAGTTTAAATGATCTTTTGTGTGTGTTCTCAGACAGTCGAAGAAGAAGCTTTAATCAAGAATAACAACACCTGTAAAGACTTCCTTATCGAGGCCATGAAATATCATTTGCTTCCTCTGGATCAAAGGCAACTGATAAAGAACCCCAGAACAAAGCCCAGGACTCCTGTTAGCTTGCCAAAGGTAAGCAGAGCTCGTCACTTCGTGTCACCTCACTCAGCTTTACAGGTGGCATTTTCTGTCTTTGACAGGAGCTCGAGAGCTTGCTGTGCTACTTCTTCCTAACTCCGTGATCGTGCTTTGAAGTGTTTTACTCCCTCTTCTGGCATTGCCTGTGCCCAGCAAGGACACGTAATTAAGTTGGCTAAACGTAGTTGAATCGTTAGGGGAAGCAGCATCTCTGCTGCTGAAGCATTTTATCGGCCACGAGTGGTTTTGTGACTTGTTGACCTGTAGAGAGGCTGCAGTGCTGGGAGGGCTGGCTGAGGTGTCCTGGAGCCCTGCTGAGGAGGGTCACAGGAGGTGTCTTTTTGTTTCCTATATCCATAGTCAGAAGCCAGGAAATCGGGAAACAACAGCACCCAGCCCCGTGGGCAGGAAGTCTGAAGCGAATTTCAATAGACTCAAAGCAGCAACTGAATAAATAATCCTTGTTGCTCCCCTGTTTATCCTGCAGGCGTGTGATGCTCTGGCCACCACTTTATTAGTGAAGAAAAAAAACAACCACAGAAACTATTTTCCCTGTGCCCCAGAGATAGACACAGTTTGGCACAATGTCTCTCAACAGGCTGTCACTGGAGTTGTTCATAAGCATTTTGGAGATTCTAAGGCAGCAGGACCGCAGTGTGTAATTTTTCTAAGCACAAATGGTGCGGGGGCTGGTTTGTGGGATGGTGTATGAGATCTGTGCTGTTTGTGATGTTTAGGTATTGGACTTTCCATTGAGAAATTGTGGTTCTGCTCTATGTGTCAGCGTGTTGTGTCCTTTCTGCTATCGCTGAGATGAAGTTGGTAGAACATAGCTTTGGGGGTGTCATGAAGGGCTGACATGTCCCTTGTTCAGGGATTAAAGCAGTGAGGGATAAAAGGAACAGCAAACCAGCGAGTTCAGAGGTTCTCAACAGCCTCTGTTGTATGACCCATGAGCACAAACCCAAATCCTTTGCAGGTCTCTCCTCCCTTCTTTTGAACTGTGGAGAAAGGGAAGAAGGTGATGATCTTTCAGCAATCCTTTTACTGAGAAACTTTCATCTGGCCTGTAGGTCCTGCTGATGAGGGATTATCGTCTGCCACGAAATCTCTTAATTCTGTAATCGTGTGAAGCTCTGCAGCTTTCCATGGGAGACTGTTACACAACTGGTAGTCAGGTTGTTAATTTAGACTCAATTTGCTTTCTAATGTCACGTTCTCATCTTTGTACATCAAACAGGCTACTATTTTCATACTCTCCAAATTCTTTAAATCGCTGTCCTGCTTTTAAAGGAACTGTGCTTGGGAGTTGAGCTCATTACCCAAGTGACCTCAAGTGACGATCTTATCCCCTCAGCTACTCCCAGCTGCCTTGCAGAGGCTAAAACCAGTTTCCAATCTACTCTTTGTCTATATTTGAAGCCCTGTTATCTTGTTTCTAGCTCCTTGGCCTTGTAAAAATCAGATTGTCTTGGGTAGTGTTTGCTCCTGCTGATTTGCTGTGATAAGGGAGCAAATCCTCCCTCGATAGCCGTGGAGGGTTGAAGGAAATGTGTGCAGGTGTTTTGGGGGCTGTCTGTGCAGGTGCTGGTTTGCAGTGCCCAGCTGGGGCTCAGCAGCAATGCACACTGGGGGGATGAGCTGCAGGCTCCTGAACCCATGGGAGGTTTGTCTTCTGGCAGCAGACATGGCAGATTTGGGAAGAAACACACTGCATGCTCTCCAGGTATTCTGGCCTTCTCACTTTTTCACCAGGGTCCACCACTTGCTATTGCTGGGGGTGGAGCCTGGGGCTGGATGAACCCTTACCCTGACTCAGCAGACCGGTTCTTGAACTCCTGAGATTGCCCTTGATCCCCTTCACACAGCTCTTCCCTATCTGTAAGGAATGTAGGGTTTAATTCCTGAATTTGCATCAATACCTGTGGCAGAAAAAAGCCTTAATGGAGCTGACAAATCCCTTCCTTCAGCAGCTGAGCACCCCAGGTGGTCACAGTGCTGGTGATTTCCCCAGTGTCGCCTTCCCCACAGGTGGCAACACAGCTGTCAGGTTTTATTTGCTCAGTGGCATTGATTATTTTTAGCACCACCAGGGAGATAATGACTAAACAGTGGGCTGGCAGTAGAAATTATGCTGGAATCTTCTTCACTTAAAAATACTTTTACAGTGAGTCTTTCATGCGCTGTGGGGCCGAAAGGTTTTGTATTTCAAGGGGAAATTGGGCCGGTTGCCCACCTTGGACATGGTGAGGAAGGGTAAATGGGGCAGCTGTATTTAGCCTGCATTAAATTGGAGATAAAGTTTTCCCCCTTGAAATAGAATTGACTGAAATAAGTGTTGCTGCAGAGGCTTCTAGTTGGCCCGCCCCATGTTTTTTGGCAGCTGCTCTTGAGCAGGTTGTGGTGATGGTTTCTCTGCAGGGAGCAGCTGCTCAGGGTTATGTTTGAGGTTTTCTATCTGTTGTCTTCCCTCCCCAGGTGATGATCGTGGTGGGTGGGCAGGCCCCCAAAGCCATTCGCAGTGTGGAGTGCTATGATTTTGAGGAGGAGCGCTGGGATCAGGTTGCTGAGCTTCCCTCACGGAGATGCAGAGCAGGTAACGGGACCTTTTGCTGCCACCTTCTTTGTTTTCCTCATGCAGCTCTTTAGCACTGGATGGATGGCCTCAGCCATCCCTTCAGCCTTCCTTTGTGCCCCTGGCCTCAAATAGCTCTTTCTTTTTGCCATTTCTTTCCCTACAGATGTTTTCCCTTTCTTGTTCAGGTGGATGAACCCCTCTCTAGAGGGGTTGATCCTGCCTGCCCGCCTTCCATAGCCACTGTCTCCCCTTCATCATCTCTCTCTCTTTCCTGGCTGCTCCTTTATCAGTGTTTCCTCTCCTCCTCCCATCCCACTGGCTTGGCAGCCCACAGGGATCCAGTTTGCCTTGCTGGTATCCTAGTGAAAATCCAAGGAGCTGAGTCAGTCCCTCTTGGTGCTGAGGAGTGGGTGACGGAGAGCAGATCTTCTAGTTGGGAGCGTTCCTCTGCAAACATCTGACAGAGTGTGGATCGCCATTTGGTGTTCCCTCTGGCTCACAAAATTACTCACTCAGGTGTGAAATCCATCTGTGCCTTATGCTGCCATGGTTTGATGTGCGTTTCCCCTCCCATGTGTTTTATCACACTTGGCTTCAACACCCTTAACCCGCGGAAAACGCCAGAGCCGTGCCCACGTTCTCCTGGCTGCGTCCCACACCCTGGCAGGGCACCTGCTCCCAAAACTGTTTGTGAAACCGCTGTGACACCTCTCTCCTCTCTTGTCAGGGGTGGTGTTCATGGCTGGCAACGTTTATGCCGTCGGGGGCTTTAACGGGTCGCTGCGGGTGCGGACGGTGGACGTGTACGACGGCGTGAAGGACCAGTGGACATCCATAGCCAGCATGCAGGAGAGACGGAGCACTCTGGGGGCAGCCGTGCTCAATGACCTCCTGTACGCAGTGGGAGGCTTTGATGGCAGCACTGGTAGGTGGCTGAGCAAAAACCAGGCAGTGCCTGACCTGAAAAAAACCCACGTTTGCAGAGGCCCTGCAAAGATTGCAGGGCTTTAGTGAGGTTCCTGTAGAGGAAGAGCCAGAAATGGGGTTTGCTGCGTGTTGTAACCAACCACAGGCATGCTCTGAGCCATCAGGAATTGCAGAGCATCTCACCCTAGTTGTTTTCTTCAGTGATACAGTTCTTTCAGTCTCATTCTCTGTATGAATATGCTTTTTCTGGACTGAAAAGGGATTTTTTCCTTGTTTCAGTGAAATTTTTCATAGCAACACGAATAAAATACCAGCAAGGCACATTACAGGGTGTGTGTGCCTGGGATTTGTCTTGGCATAACTGCATGTTCAGATTCACACCTCTGCCTCTGCTGTAAAGCTTTGCCACTTGGTTAAGCCCTGAAGTATTTCAGCTGGTGATGAGTACAGTGCAGCAGGGTCTGGGGGAACTTTTAAACCTTTACATGGACTTTTTGTTATGCTTGAAAGGGGCTTTGGGGCTTAGAATCCGGACTCTGCTCCACCTCAGTGTCCCCAGAACACTGGAGAGGCAGCAGTCCCAGGGCAGGGGTGATGGGGTAGCATTTTTCCAGCTGCTGAAGAAGTGGCATTGAGATGCTGGTCCCAGCCTGAAAGGCAAGGGATTAGAAAATGGGATTGCAGGAGCGTGGCGGGAATTACGGGCTTGGGAGGAGGCGGAAGGCAGATGAAAGTGCAACACCAATCTTTTTTTCTTCTCTTTTTTTTTAATTAGAAAACCTGTGTATCCCCTTTTTAACTAGGTCTGGCATCAGTTGAGGCCTATAGCTATAAAACCAATGAGTGGTTTTTTGTGGCTCCCATGAACACAAGAAGAAGCAGTGTTGGAGTTGGAGTTGTGGAGGGTAAGAAAATCAGCAGCCATTTCCATCAAGCAAATGTTCCTGTGTCAAATAGAAGCCTGAATGGTTAAGTGCAGTAGGAGGCAACTGCAAGAGCTTTTCCATTGACTAGTTGGGAAAGATTGATTTTTATATGATGTAATTGCTGCAGTTTTTTCCATTCTCCTCTTTATCTTAGTGAAAAATCATGTGTAGCCTTCCAAGAGCCTCAGACCAGCCCATGCCTCCTGTGAATGCCATTAGGTGTGTGCAGGTTTCTTGGAACCTTATTCTTCCTGGGCTGCCTCTGGCTGGTGAGAGCTGGTGCTGCTGTGCAGTGGATCCCGTTGCTCCCGTGGATGGAATTCCCATCACGGAAAATCTGCTCAGAAACAGGAACACAGTTTGTCCCACAGCCCCAAGCTGGTGGGTTGGCAGGAATGCTAAAACCTGTGTTTGTTGCCATCAGGCAGGGCACGCTGTGCTCTGGTTCTTACACGAGCAGGGGCTGGCAGCAGCACAGGCTGGTGCGGCGGCAGCTCGGAGCGAGGTGGGAGCGGAGGGTGCTGGGGAGGAGGGTGGCAGCTGCTGGCACCTCTGTGTCAGCACCACACTCGAGGGAGCTGGAGCTGAGCAGCTTGGTTTGGATCCAGGAGAATGAGCAGTTTAAGTGGGAACCATTTCTTCCTTTAGAAAATCTGTTTTGAAGCAAGTATAAGGTTTTATTTGATGTTATCTTTAGCAGGTTTTGGCAGTTTCCAGTTAGTGCAGAGCAGCCACTGGCACAAGCACTGTTACAAACCATGCTTTGCAGTGGTTTGGATTGACCTGTGTGTGTCATATAATACATGGGAATGTGTTTATAAACATGGGAAATACATGGAATGCTTTTATGAACATGAAATGTGTTTAAGTGAGAAGAGAGAAGAAGATAAAAGTCAGAATAAATAGTGGTGATTAACTTAAATCTGCATATTTAAGAACCATCTCCTTCAAAATTGGCCCATGTTTGGGAAGCACTGGGCTGCTGGGATTTGCTAAAGGGGTTTGAATGCAGAACAAATATTAAGTATGGACATGAGAGATGCATTTCTACGAGAAGATTTTCTACAGCAGAGTTAGGAAATCCTTTTCCTTTGCTTTGTTTGAAAGTGCAAATAAGTGTTGCACGTGTTGGAGTCTGTAATTAAAAAAAAAAAAGAGGGCATGTGATTGAGACAAGAGCTGATCATACTGGTGTAGGGAACAAGCTGCAGCCTTCAGTTAATCCACAGGGTTTGCCCGAATGTGACAAAAATTGACCTGATTTCTGTGGATACTGAAAATACCTAAGAATTGATGCCAGCCAGGGAACTTTATCTTGCCTTGCTTGGTCTGGCACTCTTGCCTGATTCATTGACCAACATCAGGTAGGTTGGACCAACAGCACAAATATGTTTACAGAGACAGGAAGATTGAGAAGGAGGCCATGAGTGAACCTGAGGGAGAAAAAAAAAGAGCCAGCCTGTTCTTGGAGCCTTGCAAACACCCAGAAACAGGAGAATGCAAAACTGAAGATGATAACTGTTGCATGCAAAGAGTTGCACAGCTCATTTGTGGCCAGGCTCTGCTGTTATGGATTGAAAATTGGTCTTATTTCTGGGTTTTGTTCAAAAATTTAGGTTAGACTTTTTCTGCATATCTGTTGAGCTTTCTTAATGGTTGTTTGTTGTAGCATCTGAGATTCCTGAACTTGAACCAGAATGCCTTTGTGCTAGCTGCTTCAGTAAGGAGAATCCCTCTCTGTCCAGAGTTTACTGCCTAAATGCAAAACAGGCTGATAGACGATACAGGGAGACAAGGAGAGAGTATCAGTCAGACCCTGGAACAAAGGACATGGTGGAGCATCAGCCTTGTTTCATGTGTGATACAGTCCCAGGATATCTGATTGTGCTCCTCTGGTCTCAGAAAGTCTTTGTTATTCAGCTTTCCCTAAGCTGAGGTAGGGAGGGTTGGACACACTGTGCTGTGAGGGTGTCCTGGGGTATCACACTGTGCTGTGAAGGTGTCCTGGGGTATCACACTGTGCTGTGAAGGTGTCCTGGGGTATCTCCTGTGTTCTCATCACTTGGTATGAGTGACCAGGCTGGTCTCAGCTGTGCTGGCAGCATTACTGGGTTTTGATTTGGCCCAAGTTCTCCAAAATCAGGTCTAGGTTTCCTTGCAGGTATTATATAAGAGGCTATTGCCTATTTATTGCTCGTGTGATACTGTAATTAATGTGCAGTGCTGACAGCACACCTTGCCTTGTGGCACCTGAACGGGAGGAAACGCTCCATCAGCAGAACACGCTTTGGTGTCACCTCTTCTCCTGGGCCAACAAGTAATTTGGAAAATCCTCTGGGCTGTTGGCTTCTAGTTAAGCTGCTGTGTTGTACCCTTGTCTTAGCTGACAGCTTTAACAGCTTTACAAACAGGTCTGTGAGTCTACTCCGGGTTCTCCCAGACACCCCAGCAGGTTTAGGCACGTCTCCCCTCAGGCAGGATCCTCACCCGGGGCTGTCAGGTGTGATGGTAACATAAGTCAGTGGTAGCCACGATGCCAATGGCCCTGTGTGTGTGTTCCAGGGAAGCTCTACGCCGTGGGGGGCTACGATGGAGCGTCCCGTCAGTGCCTTAGTACTGTGGAGCAGTACAACCCCGCCACCAACGAATGGACCTACGTTGCTGACATGAGCACTCGGCGCAGCGGGGCAGGTACTGGCTCCCAGAAGTGTCCTAAGGAGCAGATGAGCACTCAGTTCTCCTCTGCTCGTGGAAGGGAGGGAAAAAATGTGGCTGCGCTGGCAAGTACAACCTGTTATTTGCCCCCCTTCCCATGAGGGGTGAAACCATAATTGCTTGGAAGCCCTCAGCAGCTCTCCTGATTTCGACAAAATCTGCCAAATTGTGATTAGTTTCTGGATAAATGAAATAATGTTCAGTGTCTCTAAGTAGCCCTGCTGACAGATGTGTCTCACGTGTAAGCTAAGAGTTCTCTCCCCAGATCACCAGCTGCAGGGTCAGCTGAGCATGAGAAAGCCAAGCTACACCTCCTATCACTGGGGTTTGCCGGATGGATTTCCATTTTGGGTCTTTCTGCAAGCATCCAGTGGGTGCTTTGCAGACCTTTGCATCACTGGGTGATGTGCAGACCAAAATTCATCTCAGATTGCCCCTGCTAAGCTAATTTTTAGTGCATTTTTTTGTTGGCGAGAGTTGATATGGAGGATTAGAGGAAAGGACATGTTATAAAAGGATTATATTCTAGTCTTGATGGTTTCTAACTTACTACATGATGTTAGGCTAGGTAGGGACTTTTCTTTGTGACTGTTTCTCTCTGAAAGGGGTGAGAGCTCTTATCAATTGCATTTAAAATCAACCTCAGGTGAAAGGGAATTTGTCACTGTTGGTCCTATTGCTCAGTGTGTGCTGTGGGTCCTCCCTGTTGTTAAATTGTGCAGGGGCTGAAATGTCCCTGCAGGTTAAGCTGGGGTGGGTGGGAGGTTCCCTTTTGAGCTGAGCAGTTTGAGAGGCTGCTCTCTACACCTTGTCTTCCTTTCCTCACTCCAATACCCTTTTATGACTCCGAGTGAGGCAAATTTGGACACACACTGTTGGTTCAGTTGGAAGAAGTTTGTAGCATCTGCTTGATGCTTAAACCTAGCCCAGTACAGCCTTACAGGAGAACAGAATGAGCATCTCATTGTTTACAGCACGTTGAGACAGCAAAACAGTTTGTGCCTGTAGTGAGATGGATTTTAGTGAATTTTCTGTGTTTGAGGCACTGCTCTGAGAGCTGCTTTGCCAGTATATCCCCATTGGCAACTCCATTGTTAGGAGCGCTCGTACTTCCCTGCCAAATTGCTCCGCAGTTTTCTGTTCCCCACCTGAAAGCTGAGCTCCTCGAGCTCTGGGCGTCACCGAGGTGCCCCTCCAGCGGGCACTGGGAGGGCACTGCCCGGTGCCCCTGGTCCCCAGCGGTGCTGCAGCACGATCTGGGGCAAAGCTCCATCACTGACACCGCGTGGGCACTGCCGGCACTGCCGTCCCCGTGCTGACATCTAGTGGGGACGAGGACAGTTGTCCCCAACTCCCTGGGGTGGCCCCAATCCAGGCTGTGGGGGTGTGCAGGCACTGTCCGGGTTTAACAGAATCACGGAATCATTTAGATTGGAAAAGACCTTTAAGATCATCGAGTCCGACCATTAACCCGGCACTGCCGTGTTCACTGCTGAACCACGGCCCCAAGTGCCACATCTGCTCATTTTTTGAACACTTCCAGGGTTTGCTGGACCAGCTTGGGGTTCTCTTCCCCCTCCTGGCAGGAACATCCTGTCTGCATGTGCCCTGCCTGTCTCACTGCATAGGGAGGCAGTTTTAGGTGGAAAAGCCTTTAGAGTGTTTCTGACTCTTTTACTCA